TGTTCAATTGTGTGTGGTGTGTGTGTGTCTGCTATTAGCATGGAAACATTCTTTTATTATTCTTTCAGAATTGCCTGAACAAATTCTGTAGAAAAATTGTTTGGAGGGGAAGAGAAAAAACTTGTTTCTAATAATATGAATGAACAAAATGACGAATTATTCGACGTTTATTATTATCACTTATTCATTTTCATGTCCAGACAAGGTGTGTGTGTGGATGTAATATAGAAATTTCAAAGACAAGAATTTTTTTTTCTAGCCACATTCAAATGTGCTTTGTGTGTACGACATTCACACACACACAGAGAGAGAGAGAGAGAGAGCATTTGTCATCATCATTTCCGTTTAGTTTTATTTTTTTATTTTTTTTTTGTTATACGAACAATTCTTTCGAAATACAGATGCTCTCTATATCTATTTAGTTACCAGATTCTAGTGGATAGGAAATATTCTGCAGAAATAGAATTTGAATGGCAATGTGTGAACACACAGCAGCACCAAGAGCAGAAAAAAAAATTTTCATTGTTGTAATGATGTTTTAGAGGTTTTTCCATTTCTGATTACAGAATATTCCATTTTCTTTTGTTACTTTCTCTCTCTCTATGTGTCTGTGTGTGTGTGTGTTGTTAAGTGGAATCTTTGAAATCATTGTCGAGAAAAATGAGACTAAAAAAAATGTAAATTTTTTTTCTATTTCTACAACTAAATTAATCAAATTTTCATTTTCAATTTGATTGTTTGTTTGTTTGTTTGTTCGAGTAACAGTAGTAGTAGTAGTAGTAATACGAATTGATTTTGTCACATTTCAATGTAAATATATTGAAAATGATATTAGAATCCAAAATTCTGTTTCTGTGTGTGTTTATCTTATGATCTAATGATGTAGTAAACAACAGCGAAGAATTCTACAACATTATCTACATTAGATCATCATTATATTAGAGAATATTGAGCTTTTTCAATGTTTTTCTCATGTCCCATGAATGTCTTGAAGCACAAATGTACATGAATGAAAATGGAAAAGAAGAATAGAAATAATTAACTCGTTATCGATAGTATTAGAGAGAAAAAAAATCTTTTGATTGAACACACACACACACATACATACATATGAATGAAATTTATATTTCCGTTTTTTGTCAACCTTTACCTTTAATTATTTTCTTTATTCTTTCGTTTATTAATTTTCCTGTTTCACACACACACACACACACACACACACACATACATGATGTAATTTGATTCTTTTGGCGCGTGGGAGTGTATTTTGATCGAGAAAATTCCAACGAAAACAATGAATAAAAATGATATTAAATCTACATTTGATTGTGATAGAAGAAAATATTTCAACATTTTTTTCCAAGAAAAAATTGATTTGACCCCAAAAATATTTTATTCGTTGTTTTTTTTTATCTCATTCACAGAAAAAAATTACATCATTAAATAACGCCATACAAACCGTTGATGATGATGATGATGATGAATCAATCAAACAAATCGAATGGTTTATGGCTAATCAACCGGAATTATTTTTTAGCCGTGATCATTTTGGTGTTACGCCATTACATCGTGCCATACTACAACAACGTTTTGATGTTGTTCAATTGATTGTTAAATCATTACCAATTGCATTGGATGCATGTGATTATGTAAGTTTTAATCAAAAAAAAAAAAAATTTAATTTACACAAGAAAAAAAAGTTTCATACACTGTATGTCTGTGTTTAAATTATGGTCATTTAAAATGGCCACCTTTTGTCCATAAATGACTGAAAAGAGAGAGAGAGATGCATATAGAGATTATTTTGATCCAATCTGGACCATTTCCTTTTTCCCATTAGGATTTTTATTTTAATTTTTTTTTTTCATTTCATTCTATCTTTTCTATCTACCCGTTTCAGGAGAGAGAGAGAGATTAATTCTTCAACAAAAAAAAAAAAGTAAAATACTTTCATTACATTGATCGTGGTGTTATATTTGTGTTTTTTTTGCTGCCAAAATGATTTGAAACGAAAAAAAAAATTTCCTAATGAAAACAAAACTACACGACAGCCATCATGGTTATGGTTTGATGAGTGGAACGAAAATAAAAAAAAATTCTTTAGAAAGAAAAAAAAATAACAGACACATTGAATGACACATTCTGGAAATTTTTTTTTTCTATTCATTTAATCCAAGCAAACACCATACTACCAAACAATAACAGAATGACCGCATTTTTATTTATGGATTAAATCCAAATGTGTTTGTGTGTGTGTGTATGAGCTAAATGAGTAGAAAATAAACCAAACCAAAACTAATGAAAAAAAAAACATTCGCCACCCCCATAAAATAAACCGGATTATATATATGTATGTTACTTTGGTTACACAATACACATTCGTTCCTGGAACTAAAACTGAGTAAGAGAGAGAGAAAAAAAATTTGAAGGTTATACCCGTCGTTGCTTGGTTTTTTTTTCTCATTAATTTTTATATTATATATATGTATGTAGGATTCATTGATTTAATATGGGTCAAAACCGTAATATTACCCTAAAGTCTCATGTACTCAGTGAATTTTGTCAAAAAAAAAAAAAAAATAAATAATAATAAATCTCATTATCTTTGGAGCCGCACTGTACATGAGACAAGCTAGCCATGATTTTCATCAAAATATTTGGCCAGAAAACATGATGAATTTTTTTTCCGAATTCATTTATGCACAGACACGCACACACACACACAACGCGCATTTTATTGAAATTTTTTTTTGTGCTTTTAAATCTGATATATGAAAAATTTAATTTTTTTCTTTTTACTTTTATCTCTCTCTCTCTCTCGGATTTTGATTTTATTTTTTACCAAAAAAAAAAAAAAAAACAAACAACCAATCAACCGATATGATATGATTAGCAAGGACGTACACCACTGCATTTGGCTGCATTATTACCCGATTCAGGTTGTATGTATTGTCGATTAGTGGATTTAGGTGCAAAAACTTCCGTCACCGATATGGTATGTATGTTTAATTCTAGTTGTTTGTTTAAATTTTTTAAAAAAGATTTTCATATTTGGATTTAATGTTGTGGAAGAGACACAAAAACGTAAATGTTTACGTTTTACGTCAATTGTACAATGTTCACACCAATATTCTCTCTTTTGCCAAAAATGCATGATGATGATGAATAATCTCGTTTACCTACTACATAAAAACGAATCGAATAGTTTTTAGGTTTTAGGTGGCAATTTACTACTTTTCTACAGGAATTTGTTTCACTCCTCATTTTATTGACGCACGTGAAAATCATTTCATTTCATTTCATTTTTTTTCGTTGCATTTTATCTATTTTTTTTCTTGGTTGTATAGTTATAAAATCCAATTCTTGTGACTGTGATAATGAACATTGAATGTGTGAACTGCCACAAAAAAAAAACATCAGAATTATCGAAAAAAAAGTGAGAGAAAGTGGATTTTATCCAACCACAAACTTGCCAAAAAAAAAAAAAAAAAAAATTTATTGATAAACAAACCCGGTGTTATTCAAGTTTCAGTGTACGGACGGAATCGATACCGACATTTTATTTTCTATATTTAGATTTTGGATTCATTTTCTGGTTTTAGTTTTCTGTATGTGTGTGTGTGTGTGTGTGTGTGTGTGTGTGTGTGTGTTTGGTCCAGCGACAGTAATTTGCATGTTTATTTATTTATTTTTTGCTCGTCCAAAAGTTTCATGCATGTGTATCATTAACATATTATTGGGTTTTTTTTATTATTGATTTGTTTTTCTTTTTATTTTTCAAAATCAAAATGGTTTTATTACCATATACGAAACAAAAACAAATGACTGCCATGTTTACTGCCATTTCATATTTCTCTCCTTTTTTTTTGGCTACCGCTGCAATTAACAGTGGTCCTATATTATTTTTACCCCCACCAGATTAAAACAACAAAAATGAAAAAAAAGTTTGCTTCACTGTAATGCATTTCAAAAAAAATATTCGATCCATAATGATGAAAACACACACACACACACATACACGTCATTGAAAATCTTTGTGATAGTGTTTCAACACACTTTGACAGACACATTTAATGTTGTGATGAATTGTTATGGCAACAGAAATAGCTATTCTGTTTTCTTGAGTTCTTTTTTGTTTTTTTTTTTTCATTTGAAATCATTGTTTTCTTTTCTTTATCATTATAGCAGTAAATATATACCTTATTGTTTTTTTTCCTTTCGTTGTTGGTTTCTAAACACACACACACAATTTTGTTAAACTTTTCACTTTTCATTTCCGTTTCTTTATCACGATTTTTTTTGCCTTTCTGGCTTGATTAATTCGATTTCTTTTTCTCTTTATCCATAATATCCGATGATGATTATTTCCGCTGCCAGCCACCCACCCCCCATAGCGCAACAACAACACCGCTACCTTTTTTTCACCTGATTTTGAATGACTTTTTTCTTTTATAATTATTCTTAGTATATTTGTGCATGTGTGTATGCAAGTGTGTGTTTTGTTGTTGTTGTTGTTTTGTATGCCTTTGTTGTTTCCCCTGGTTTCAGAATTTCATATGCAATTTTATTTCATTTTTTTTTTTCGTTTCATTCCCCATAATTTATGATCCATCAATAAAGTTTTTTTTTTGACATTTATTCAGTCAGTCAGACAAATATCTGTCTGCATTTTTATATTTGCCGGGGTTTGTGTGTGTGTGTGTGTGTGTGTGCCGGTGTTTGGTGTATATGTGTGTGTCTGTGTGTGTGTGAAATGAATATTTTTGATTGATTTTCGAATCTGATTATTGCTTTATTTTGAACTCTTTTTTTCTGTTCCAGTATCTAAGACGACCAGAAGATTATTTACAATCGGATGATTATATACAACAATCACCGACAAACATTAATAATAATCATCAACAACAGAACGTTTGTTCACCATTACAACAACAACAGCCACTAAAACAACAACCACAACAACAACAACAACAACAACGATCAAATCGTAATCAATCGAAAAAAACATTATCATCATCAAATATATCGGCATCAATTGAAATTAATGATTATGTTGATGATCAAAATGTTGTGATTGATACGAATTTACAAATTTCATCATCACCAACGCCTACATCAAATATTAATAAACATTCATATGATAGATCCAGATCATCATTACAAATACCCACTACATTTAGTGTTAGTAATACAAATTTAAAAATTTTTATCCATAATAATAATAACAACTACAACAATTATGATTGTTCTTTCAATACAAACAAACAGCCAACATTGAAATCAGCAACGGATAAACAACAACAACAGCAGCAACAACAACAACAACGAAAACAAACAACAAGCCTTCCTATACGTAAGTAGAATTTTTTTTCCTTTCAATTTTTATCAAAAATTTGATCCAAAACACACACACAAGCACAAATTGTTTAGTGGATGATAGGTTAACGATTTGGAAAAATAAAAGAAAAGAATATTCTTGCTATTTTTTTTTTTTTTTTTTTTTTTTTTGATTTAATATTCAAACTTTTTTTCCAATCGTTGATTATTATTTTTTCGTTGGAAAACTTTTTTTTTGAAATTCACTTGAGATTATAACACACACATACAAACGCTGAACATATTATGTTGATTGAATGAACTAATGGATTATTATTAACTTGCAATTCGATTCTAAATTTTTATTCTATTTAAAAATTAGTATTGAAGATTGTATATAATTAATGGATAGAGATGAGTAATTTGATACCAATATGAATGAATAAATGAATGAATGAGGGGGAATCTGAATTCCCATATGAATTAATGGAAGTTTTCATTTCCATTAATTATCAGCAAGAAAAAAAAACTCCAATGTAAATTATTCAATTTGATACCACACACATACACACACACACACACACACATACATGGATGCTGATAGATTTGAAACCGGCAAATTATTCTGTATGAAGAATCGTTTTGAGAATTGGAAAAAAAACTTTTTTCCTGTAATTTACTTTGCCGATATTTTTTTTCATCTTTTTTTTCCGTTCTACATTTTCATAAATTCAACTGAGCTGATTAAAATAAATAATATAATTTGTTTCTCTGATGATGACCGAATGAAGGAAAATTTTTTTTTTTTTTTATCAATTTTCTTGTTTTCCATGGAATTTTTTTTCAAATTTGTCTTTTTTGTCCCTCTTGAATTTGAAATTCTTTTTTTTACATAATGAATCGAATACTTCTTGGTCTTCTTTTGACAATGTTGTCATTGGTTGACTAAAAAAAATTGACAAAAAAAAATTTTTTATTTTTACCAGAATCATCAATGAATTTTTCTCATTCAAATACTCAAAATGTTTTTAATGAGTTTGCGTGCGTGTGTGTGTGTGTGTTGTTTTTGAATGATGATAGAAAATTCTCGAAAAGTTACTTTATTATTTACATTGAAATCTTGATGAAGAAATTATGAAGCATAAAATATGATGATGATGATTTGAAAATTTGCTTGTTGTCGCTAGTTTTGCCTCGCAATATTCTGTGTGTGTGTGTTTTTTCAAATATTTTTTTTCCAAAATTTGGACTGAAAAATGAAAAGAATGGAATTCGTCATATTATTATTCATTTGAATAATAATATCTCTCCATTTGATATCGAAGAATTTTTCTTTTTCATTTTCCAAATTCCATTGAATTGAACAAAATTTTGGAAATTATTTTTTTTACAATTAAAAAGTTTTTTTTCTGTATTCTTCATTGATTGGGTGGGCAAATTGTTTCTGCATGCATGAAAAATTATTGTTCATTTCTTTTTTTTGGCAATGATGATCATCATTATTATTATTATTATTAATAAAAGATACACTGCCAATACGGATGATGATCATCATCATTTATTTATTTTCGAATGAAATTTTTGTTGAAAAACAAATTTCATTTCTCTCCTTTGTTTTTTTTTTTAGTTTCCATGATGCTTTGAGTCATTGAATTGGCAGTTTATCATCAAAACATTTTTGAACAAAAAGAAAAATTTTTTTTCAAGAAAGAATTGAAAAAAATGAACGAATGAAAATGTGTGATCTTCTACAATGACGACGACTGTTATGGCTTTAGGGTTAATGTTTGTGTGTCTGTGGGTGATGAATGATATACGACTTTATTGAATTATCTATCAAGTTAATGGTGGGTTTTGTTCTTTTTTTTTTTTTTTTTTTTTTTTGGTTTCATTATTTTCAGAGTTCAAATTATTGAAATTTGAACCCGAATTGACCTTGAGAATCTATATATTCGATCACATTTCATCATTAAATGTACTCAAAACGAAAAAAATGAATGAATGAATGAATGAATGCGTGTATGTAAACAAATGACATAATAACCGAGCTACTATTACACACACACACACACGCACAAATACATAGGAGATTTGTATCTCATTATTTTTTTTTATTATTTACTTCAAGAATGATGTTTATGATTATATTGCGCAAAAAAAAATTATGTAAATCACACCCAATGTTTTTTTTTCTTCTTCTTTTTCAATTCTTCAAAAAAAAAAAATGTTGTCTGTCTGTATATTTATTTCACTCTCACTCAAATCTGAATTACACTGTGGAATAATAATCATAAAAATATACATAACATACATTAATTATGGTTGCCTTTTACTACTAATTAAGGCTCATTATATTCATATATGCTGGGTCCCTGTATTAGCAATTATGATGTTGATGATGATTGTTTTGTTGTTGTTGTTGTTGTTGACTTATTTTTTTCATCATTATTAATTGAATATCATCATTTTTTCAAAACTTTTTTCTTTTCAAAGCAATTCAAATTCAAATTCAATGCTTTGTTTATGGGTTTTATTTCCAGAATAACCAGAATTTCCATTGCCAAATCAAATGATTTGGCAAAATATTCTGTCATTGAAATGACATTGTAAACAAAATCTTTTTGTTTTGTTTTGTTTCGAGTCAAAAAAATGTTTAGAATTTTTTTTTCTGTTCATCACTTCAAGTAAAACAAAAGAAAAACACCGACGATATTATTACATGGAAACGAAAGAAGCCATAAGTGTATCATTATCAGATGATAAGAACTCTACTTTTTTCTTCTTCTTCTTCATCAAGAAAAGAGGTTTAGGAAATTGAAATTTTTTTTTCTACTTCATGTTCATCATCATCAAAAAAAAAAACACACACACTTCGTGTTTGGCTTATTCTTCAATTTTCATATACACACAAACACACACACACTTGCATGCATAGAATCTTATCCCTATGACTATGTTTTGTTTGTGTGTGTGTGTGTTTCCTTTCAAAGCTTTACTTTTACTTTTCATTTAGTTTATTTATGATGAGCCCCTTTGAAGAAAAAAAAAACATCATCATTTTTATGAATTTCTTACAATGAATACACACACAAACACACACGTTATCTTACTGGTGTGGTTATTGTTCATTTTTGCTTCTTCATAATATTCATTATTTAGGTCATCATCACCGCTATAATCGTTGTCATATTTTCAATGACGACAACGAATAATGAAATAATAGTTAGCAATGAATGAAAATAACTGACTTTAACAACTTTAACAACAACAACAACATGGATTCTTTTTCATGATGATGATAATCGTCTATTACGTTGTTTTTTGTTGTTGTCTAACATTAATGTGTTTTTTTCTCTCTTTCTCTCGTCATTGAATTCAATGGAATTTTTCTAGCGAAAAAAACAACAACAAATAAATACACACACACACCCAGTATATACACATGCAGAGAATGAAAGCTATCATTATCATATGGTAAAATCCAAGAGAAAAAATAAAAAGTTTTTTTTTATTTTATTATTAAAATATAAAATACAATAGTGGATAAGATATGAATTTTCGTGTTTGTTTGTTTGTTGTTTTCATCATCTTTTTTGTACTAAACAATCTATAATGATGATGATGATGATAATAATAATAATAATCAAGTGAAGGCAGAAAAAAAATATGAAAGAGCCATTCATATATAATGATGACATTTTCGGAAAAAAATTTTCTCGTTTTTTGTTTTTCGGATCTCATGGCTGAATATTTTCAATTCTGTTGATTTGATATTCATCATATCATTTTGTTTTCGTCCTAAATTGTCTTTGATCGATTTTGTATATTTTTTTTCGCAGAAAATATTCGATTTTCATTCATTCATCATTGATGTTATTTATACTTGAATATTCATCATACATTGGAGAAAATCTAGACACACACACACACACACACATAGAGATTGTGGATATTCAGGATTTCATTTCCTTTCATTTCAAAATATCATTCAAAATGAAAATATAAATTTTCTTGGTAAATGCAAATCTCATGTTATTTTTGGAATGGTTTTTTTCGGTTGTTGTTGTTGTTGTTGTTGATGATGATCACATCACCAATTTTAGAGTATAGTGCAGAAAAAAAAAAATGAAAGGGTTGTGATGGATTTTCTATTTTTCGCCTTCTTCTTTTTCTCTTGAATGATTTTCTCTTGTCATTCAAATTATCTCATCTCATAAATATTTATTCATTCAACAATAACAACCCACAACCCACAACAACAACAACAACAATAGTTGATTCTATTATAAATTCTTGTTCAGAATAAATTTTAAAATTTCTTTTAAAGGTTATTTTTGCACACATACAGAATAAAATGGTGGGTTGTCTCTGTGGTGTTATTGTTATTGTTAGTGTCGTTTGTTTGTTTGTCGGTTATTGTCCCTTTGTTACGAAATTTACGAATTTACATACAATATATTAAAATGTATTGATTGATTGATAACCTTATCCAATGTTGTTTTGTTTTTTTTTTTTTGCATTTCATTTGTTTTTTCTTTGTATACTGAAAATTCGAAATCTAAAATAGTTGAAAATCATCATCATTATCAAAATATCGGTTACAGTGGTAATGGTTATGGTCAACATTTATCACCATCATCGATCGATTCACAATCATTTCAATATCGACAACAATCAAACGATGATCATCATCGGAATAATAAATCACCAAATAAATGGACAACAGATTTATCATCATCATCATCATCACTAGTATCATCGCCAACAAAAAAATCATCACCATCGACAACATTTTTTCATTCATCAATGAATCGTATGATAAATGTTAAAGAAATAATTAGACAAGGAAATTTAAGTGAACTTGAAGAATTAGTATTACAAGGTTATGGTGATAAATTATTGGGTGAACACGCCATTTCTGCACCATTAGTTCAAGAATTTCTTGATAATTTACCCAACTATTTGGTTAGTAGTGATTTTATATGAAAGAAAAGAAATTTGTTGAAAAAGTTTTTTTCGTTTCTGTCTCCATTTTTTTTCATTGTTCCTGCGTGTAAATCAATAATCAATCAAAAGGATCAAATTGATCAATTACATAAAGCTGCTACACGTGGTAATGTTAGAGAATTTCAATTATTATTGGATCGTTATTCATTAATCTGTTCACGTGATCAATTGGGTGCAACACCATTACATAAGGCCGTATTATATGGCCATTTTGATTTAGCTAAATTTATTGTATTAAATTTTGGTCCAAATATACTTTATCTTGGAGATAATGTGAGTGTTTTTTTTCTTTTCTTTTCTTTTTTTTTCTTCTTGGCGTTCCTTATGAAAATGAAATGGAAAATAATGTTTTGTTTTTGTTTCTATTTTCTAATATATACATAGGAAAAACGCACACCATTACATTATGCAGCCGGTTTAACAGCTGATAATGATGATGATCATTCTATTTATTATATGTTATTAAAATATGGACCAAAATCATCAATAATACTTGATCAGGTTTGGATTTGTTAGCATGATTTTTTTTTTTTTCACTTCATTTGTACATAGAAAAATAGTAGAAAAAAAATTCTATTTGCCAATAGCCAATAGGCATGTAGCATGTGCTTTTGTTCCAGTGTTAAATGAATTAATGTATCTTTTTTTTATGTACCAACAACAACAACAAAAAGTTTTTGGTACATAGTATTTATCCAGGAAGAAAGAAAGAAAGAGAGAGAGAGAGAGTGATTTGGTTGTTTCATTTAATCTTCCTGTATCAAAATGAATGAACGAATGAATCCATTTTTAAAAGTTTTTTTTCTTTTAATGTTTTTTTTTTTGTTTCATTTTTCTTCAAACTTTTATTTTCGTGTTACATTTTTTACGAATGGTTTCTATTTGTCTGTTTCTATTTTCTCACCACACATTAACTTAATAACGAAACTGAAACTGAAAAAAAATTCAATAGAAAAATCGTACAGCCGATTTTTATCTACGTTCACCTGAACAAATCAACATACCCCTGATACGTAAACGTTCTAAACGTTTAAATGCTAATCATACAATTAATTTGGCTAATAAGATTAAGTTACTGAAATCATCATTATCGCCAACACCATTATTATCATTACCATCATCATCATCATCATCATTGAAACGTGAGTAAATATTATTCTTCTTCACTTGTATTCAATTTCATTTATTTTATAATTGTTTTTTTCCGATTGTCACCATCTGTTTGTTTGTCGTGTTTGTTTTTTTTGTCATTCAATTTCGAAAATTTTTCATTTCGTGACAAATTTTAAAATTTTTCGAGCTTGTTGTTTGTTTATTTTCATTTAAAAAAAATGCTGGCTTCACTGTAGAAATTATTGTTGTTGTTTCATTATCATAATTTAGCCAACTTTTTCCATCATCATCATCATTCGATATAATTCAATTATTATCAAATTTTTATCATCATTATCAGCTGTATGATGATGAATGTATATATTCATTATTTTTACAGTCACTGTAAAAATAGAAAATTTTTCTAATCAAAAGAGAAAAAATTTATTCATATTTTTCCACTTTTACAAACTATCAAAAAAAAGTTTGAATTTATTTCGGCTTTTTGGTAAAAATTTATAATTTAAATTAGCTATATATATCGCTTGTGTGTGTGTGTAATGATAATCAGATAATAAATGCTTGTTTTCAACGAAACAAAAAAAAACTTTTCCAGCACCATAATACACTACAAAATGAGATTTTGGAATATTCAAAAGTTTTGAATTATCATTTTTGTTTTCTCCGAATCTTTTCATATGAATGACAAATGATGACATGATGATATGATGTGGCTGTAAAAACGGATGAAGAGTAAAGAAAAAAAAAATTTGTTCAAAATCAAAAAACGCCTAAAGATATCATTTATATATATATCGGCCAGATTGGGAAATGAAAAATTTCATTTCTTATGTAGAAAAAAAAGTATGGTGATTGATTTGATTTGTTTTTTTTACCTTTCTTTTCAAATTTTTTTCAGTGAATTTTTATAAAAGAGTCATAAATTTCAATTTAAAAATTTTTTTTTTTTGAAAAAAACAGCTGAAAAAAGACGTCAATCGCTTACATGATGTGATCATCAAACAAAACAAAACAACCATCATTTGTGAATGAAAATAAACATCAAAAATGAATAAAATGAAAATGAAGAAGAAGAAGAAATTAAGATTGAGAAAATGTTTTTTTTTTTTTGAATTCCATGTGTGTGTGTGTGGAGAAGAAACATAAACATACCTTTTTTTTGCCCTGATGATGGTTTACATTCGCTTACAATTTCAGTATTTGTACATGTTATTCAAAACAACAACAACAACAACAGCCTCGAATATTCTTGTATTTGAATCAGATTCTATTTCTATCATCAACAACAAATGGCAATCGAAACATGGAAGAATTGAATGAAGCGCTGTTTTTTTTGTTTTGTCTTGTTTTGTTTGTTCAATTTAAAATGTAATAGGAAAGATCTATTTTTTGATATATTTATTTATTTTGGGTTTATAAGTCGAAGATTTTTTTTCTGTTTTATAACAAATTTTATTATAGCATTAGTTCATTTTTTCCCACCACCGTTTCCATTCATTTTTCATCCCTTTACTCTAGTAGCGCCAATTATATTGTCTGCTTTTGTCAGGTTAATTTTGTTTTTTTTTATTTGAATGACAAAATCATGAATTCTATATATTTTTAGGATTCATTATATCGAGAATTGTGTATTGTGAGAATGATGAAGAATTTGATTTTCAAAGGCCAAGGCAAGAATAAATGAAAAAAAAACACTAGATAGTTCAATATAGTTCAATCAAAATAATGATTAGAATAAAGTGTGAATTGTATTCAACAGCAACAACAACAAAAGAAGTGAGAATCGGAATATTATTCTTTTTTTTACAATTGGAATTTGAAAATTTTTTTTGTGTATGTAGAATCTGATTACTTTGATTTGGTAATTCTTTTTTTTCATTTTACTAAAATGTCAATTCAACAACAACAAAAAAAAAATAAAACAAACTAATTTCATTCAACTTTATTCACATTATCATCATCATCATTCGTTTTGTTATCATTGACTAAATGTTTTCATTTAGCATTAAATAGTTGTTGTTGTTGTTGTTGTTGTCATGAGCCTTGTGTGTTTGTATTTGGATGATAATGATATTAGATAATGATGATGATGCTTCTTATGATACAACTTATATTCTTTTTACTGTTGGAATGTTTAATATTAAATTCTTGAATTTGATTGAGATCAATTGACAACCATTTGTGTGTGTGTGTGTGTGTGTGTGCGTGGGCGTGGGCGTGTAGGTCATTGTATTTTTGTGTAGAATCTATAGGAGAAAAAATTTTCAACAACAACAACAACAACACACACACACATGTAGAAACGGAAATATGATGAAAAATGTTGTAAATATAAACAGCAAAGAAAAAAAGATCGATGAATTTTATCTAAAATCCAATCTATTCTGTTGAGAAAAAAATCATAACTTTATTAATCACTTCATTTTTCTTGTTTTTTTTTTTAGGAAAAGAACGAAGTTTATCACCTAATTGGAATCGTTATCAATCGATAAACATTGACAATAATAACGAAAATTTTGACAACAACAACGTTGACGTCGACAACGACGATCAAATTATTATGAATGGTCAGTGAATTTATATTTTATTTTCCTGTTTGTTTCGTTTATATATAAAAAAAAGATTTTTATTTTGTTCATTTTAATTGATGATGATTGATCATTAATTCTTTATTTTTTCGTTTTCCATTCTCCTCTGCCGAAATTCCACCCACATTATATATTATTAGATATGGATGATACAACAAAAACAGTAGTGGCCGCCAGTGGTGAAACCAATGGCCATCAAATGGCTACTAACAGTGGCCTTATCAATAATAAGCAACAGCAGCAGCAACAACAACATTCAAATGGGATCAATAATAATAATAATGACAATCATCGCCAAACACAAAGTGAGTTTTTGGTCATTAACTTTGATTTATTATATTCTTGTATTTCTCATTTTTCATTTGCATTACGATATTTATAGAAATGGAAATCAATTCAGCTAATTTAAAAAAATGGATTGAAGAAAATAATATACAAATGTTGGAAGGTGTTGTATTGGAAGGACATGGTGAACGTTTACGGCAAAAAGCATCGACATTATTATTAACGAAACAAAAATCCAATGATGATTTGTTTATGACCAAGAATTATATTGAAGAAACAGTACCGATTATAATGAATAAAATACAAAACATACATCAAGCTGTTTCAATGGGCGATCTAACCGTTTTACAAGAAGGTATTAAAAAGAAACGTGATTATATCCTGTCGAAAGATCATTTAGGCATGACACCATTGCATAAAGCAACCATTATGGGTCATTTAGAAATGGTACAATATATATTGGATAAATTTCCTGAAACAGTGAATGCAAAAGATCGTGAAGGACGTACAGCATTACATTATTCAACAGCGACAACAAATCGTAATGGAAATAAAATTTATAAAATGTTGATCAAAGCTGGTGCTGATTCACGTGTCAGAGATTCGGTAACTATATGCTAAAATATTCTTTCTTTTCAATTTTTTTTCAAGCTAAAATTCTACACCCGATTGATTGATCAAATAATAGAATCCATACACACACAAAAGATGTACAAAAAGGATTTGCATGAAAAAGATGTCACAACATCAAGCATGATGTGCATGTGTGTTGATGTTGATGTTGATGAATTTATATATTAATTTTTTTCGACAAAGACAACAACAACAACAACGAAAAAAAAATCAAACCAAAAAGTTAATTAAATCCAATTATCTTTTTGTTGATGATTTTTTTTTTGGATGCAGTAAACGAATTTTTGTTGTTGTTGTTGTTGTTATCATTCAGTAAAATGCAGTCTATATATTCTATTAAAAAACAAAAGAAAAAACGATTATCGTTTTTTTTCTTCTTTTTTTTGTTACTCTATTCGTAATTGTTGTAATAAAAGGATACATAATATTGGAACCAACACACACACACACACACACAAACCCGTTAATGGTTTCCTTTTCTATGGATTTCTTTTCCCAGAAAACAAAAAAAAATATTGTCATTAAATTTGATTCCATTTCTCTTGAGCTTAGTGTATTTTAAGCACGAAAAAAACGAATCAATGTATGTGTGTGTGTGTGTGTGTATGGTATAGGTGGATAAATAGCAAAAATGAATCAGTGAGATTCTCTTGTGTGTGTGTGTGTATAAATGTTAACCAACCAACAAACAAACAGACAAAAATATTTTTCCGTTGTTGTTTTTTCTTGTTTTCTTGACTTGAAAGTAAAATGGAAAAAAATTAGCAGTATTATGATCAAAAAAAAAACTTTAATAATGACCAAAAGAGAGAGAGAGAAATGTTTTAATTTGAAATGAAAGTTTTTTTTGATGCTAAAATAATTTCTTTCATTGTAAGGATATATATGAGAAACGGAAAACTTATCATTTTGTTTTCTCTCTCTCTCTCTCTCTCTCTCTTTCTGTTTTCAAATTTTCACATTTTCTGTTTTCTTTTACTTTTTTGTCCTAATATCCCGCTGATGATGATGATGATGATGATGATGATATATAGCAAGGAAAAACACCCGATTATTATCGTGTACATTTTCTATCCATTCCGAATGAAACATTACGACCAACTGGTAAGAATAATATCGGTGTAAACAAATTAACGGCAAATTCTTCATCAACATCCAATCTACATTATCATTCAAAATTTTATGGGTAATATTTTTGTCTTCGTTTTGAAAAAAAAATTTTTTTAAACTTTATTTTTTATATATATAGAGAAACAAAATCACAACAACAACAACAACGTAGACATATTATACAGCCTGCAATACGTGAAAAGATCAATAATGCATTACATTCGGGTAATGTTAATCAATTGGAAGAATTATTATTGGATGGTTATGGTGGTGAATTGATTGGACGAACATCGTTCGATGAAGATGCAAGAAAATTTCTTAAATCTATACCACAATCAATGGAACGTATTCATGAACTACATTCATCCATTATAAATGGTGAAATTGAAATGGCAATGGAAATTCTAACGAAAAATCCACAATTTGCCCGTACTAGAGATCAAAATTCATTCACACCATTTCATTTGGCCGTTATTAATGGCCATGTAGATTTAATCGGTCATTTGGCTGAAAATTTTCCCACCATGATCAATACAAAGGATAACGTGAGTGGAATATATTTTTCAAAAAAAAAAAAAAAATTTTATTTGCATGCTTAAACTGTTTTTGAAAATTAGGCCTCATCAATTCGTAAATTCATATTGACACTTTTTATTTGTCTTTTTTGGTTGATTTGAAATTGTTATTGATGTGTGTGTGTGTGTGTGCAGCTTAATGTTTCAGCTATCAATTTATTGGAAATTTTTTTTTCTCTCTTTTGATCCTGAAAAAATGCTGAGAATGAATCTCTTGATCCATTCATTTATTCATTCTTTGATTTTTGATTTTGTAAATAATGGGTTCCATAATTATTGGAACACCAAACATACACACACCACACACACACACACACATGCTCAGGATAATTTATTCAAGGTTTTTCGATTTATTTTTTTTTTTGTTGTTTTTCTTTATTTCGTTTATTTTTTTTTTTTGCATTTGAACAAATTGTTGTTCAGAAAAAACATACACACACACACAAAACAGAAAGACAGACAGATTGAAAATCAATTCCGAAACATTTTGAATTTGTAAAGCAGTCATTGCCACTTTTTTTCCATTGACTTTTAAAAACATACATACAAAATTGATGGTAATTGTAGCTGAATTGATTTAGTTTTTTTTTCTTTCTCTCGGTTAGTGAAAAGAAACTAACAGCAACCCTTTCAATTCTCTATGAATCTGGAATTTTTTTCCCTCTGAATTTTCTTTTTTTGTTTTTTTTTATACATTCATAATCAGCAACAACATGAAACAAAATGAATGAATGAATGAAAAAATAGAAATAGAAATTCCTTGTTTACAACACACCATGCATACAACACAAATTCTAATGATTTGAATGATTCTGATCGATTCTGTTCCATTTTTTTTCTGTTATATTCAAATGAATTGTGTGTATGTGTTTTTTATTTTGTATTTGAATTTTTTTTTCACTTACACTCTCCCATTTGGTTTTCTGATTTGAATGCCATCGGCAGATATGTGTGTATGTATGTGTGTGTGTGAGTGTGGTAAAGAAAAAACACATGCAGTAGCATCATCGTCGTTAATGATTTTCATCATTATTCATCATCATCATTATCATCGAAACAATGTATATTGTCGGGATGGAGGTCCAATGAATGAGATTCATGGACAGTGCAGTGAAAAAAAAGGTTAATTGTAACCATACACCATACAACAGACGTTGATAATGATGATTATTATTCATGAATAATGATAATTTGACAATCATAATATGGTTTTTTTTTGTCTCATACAAAGCACCAGACCAATATATTCATTATTTTCTTCTATACATCATCAATGACTTCAATATGATGGATCAATGTTTTTGTTCTAATACAAGGCGCCATATTCAGATTGTTAAACAAAAAAAAAAAAAGATAGATTAGTATAAGGGTTGATGAGCGATTATTCGTTAGCGTACCGGAAATGGCATTGTATGAATTTGCATAAATTTTTCCTTCTTTTTGGTCTTGGATTTTTTTTGAATGATTTATTAGTATTAAATTTTTTTGCACATTTTCCACTGAATGAAAAAATGAACATACATTAGCAATGTGTTTTGAATTCTTTCATTTTTTTTCTCGTTCACACACACACACACATAATAAATAAATTCCCAAAAAAATGAATTAATGGATGATGAATTATTTCGGTTTCAGTAAACTGATATGTCGGATTTTTTTTCGGTTTAAAATGACGATGATGATGATGAAAAGAATATTTAACCTAAAGCTAGAAAAATGGACGAAAATGAATCGTTCGTTCGTTGATTTGTGAAATGTAGGTCTTTTTTTTATCCATTTTGTGGAATTTTTTTCTTTTTTTTTCTACGGAAATAATTCATCAATGAATTAAGATTTAATGAATTTTTTTTTCTTCTCAACTTGCATGTGACGACGACAACGATGACAAGATTCTATCTTTCTTCACCATCATCATCATCATCAATCTGTGATGATTTTTGTTTTGTTTTGTTAATTTTGTTCATCTTAGAATTCGATCATCATCATCATCATCATCTTGTGATTCACTATTTATTTGTCTAATCAAATATTTTTCCTGTCACATGCTATCTACTACTCTATGTCGATTTATTCAATTAATATTGATGACGATGATCTATGGCCTTTAATTTTCATTATATACCAAATTGCATTTTTTTGGCTAGACTTTTGTAATGTAAATTTCTCTGGTTTGTTTTTGAAATTCTCGACTTATAGGTACAGGATATTTGGATCGAATTTTTTTTCATTCTTATTCATTTTTCATTTATTTTCATGAGAAATTTCTTCTTTTTTTTTATTATTTTTTAATCAAAAGTTTATGGAACAACAGCAGCAATTACACACTTGATGTTTCTATGGTGACCTGGTTTTCTTTTCCTTGCTGTGTAGTAATAAGAAAAGATATGATATACACTTGATTTTATTCTGTGTTTCGTTTCATTTCGTTTCGTTTCAATCAATCAATCAACTGCACACACACACACACAAAATATTTCTACTCTGCGAAAGTTTTTTTCATTCTATTTTGCTTAGATTATTTCTTCTTCTTTTCTGTTTTTGTTTGTTTGTAACATCTGAAAATCCTGATTCATTTTGAATCATGTCAATTTGTCAAAAGAAAAAAGGAAAAAAATCTTTAAGATATTGATGGTGAACAACAACAACAACAGCAGCAGCAGCAGCAACAACAACAACAACAGCAGCAGTAGTAATTATTTTTATCAAAGTTTTCATTTAGAAATAGAAAAAAAAATTCTAAATAAAGTTTCCAAGAATTTCATTCTGCTTTCTGACTTTCTTCGTATTTATCTTCAATCTTATGATTCAAATCATATTGCGTAATATGATGATGATGATGAAATTCCATTTATAGTGAAATGATTATCATTTAATTATCATCTATCTGTTTGTCAATTTTGTGTTTTTCTGTGTAAAAATTCTTGTTCTAAATATATATACGATATATATACGTCTGGACAATTTTGTTGTTCATTCATTTATTTTGGCTGATCCATTTTGTTGTCCATTTTATGTGATTATTGATATTTTCAACCGATAATAATAATGATAATAATGGAAAACACAACTTTTTCCATTTCATTTGTATTTGTCTAGTTTATTATTTATTCCATTTAATATTGGATATTGATATCTGTGTATTTGTTTGTATGTGTGTGTAGATCATTCATATTCATCATCATCATCATCATAAGAATCGTGAAATTGATTTTCATAATGTAATGTTTTCATTTTTTTTTTTGAATAATATAAAGTTCTAAAGCAATTTTTGTTGCTGTTGTTGTCATTGTTGATATTGTAGATAATTTATTTGCAATTGAAGTGCAGTCTATGTGTCCAGTATCTGTAGTTTTTGTCTTTGTCCATTTGGAATTTTCGTTCATTAATCTTTATGTCATCATTATTATTATTATTATGAAAATGTTTTGCATCTGTATTTGTTTGTTTGTTGTATTGTCCGCTTAATCAATCATAAGATTTCAAAAAATGTTTTTCTTGTCTGTTTCTCATTCTGTTTCTGTTTATTTTTGCAGATGAATCGTAATGCATTACATTTAGCTGCATTATCCGGTAATGGTGACATCTATCGTCGTTTGATTGAATTTGGTTTTGATTCAAAATCAATTGATCAGAAAGGAAAAACAGCTGAACATTATTTACGTAATAATCCGGCAATAGCATCAACAGAACTGCCGGAATTGTTATCATTATCGACAACAACACCAACATCAGTGACTAATTCACGAACATTAGGAAAATTATCGAAAACAACACCAACAGCTGCAGCAGTAGCAGCAGCAGCAGCAGCAGCAACAGCAACAACAAACGTGACCAATTCACCAGGTAGTGATAATATTATCACCACTACTGGTAATAGTGTTGTATTATCTTCTTCGGCAAAAAAAATTGGTGCTAAACCAAGTCGTTTGCCTGCATTACCTAATAAACCATCAAGATCTACGGATAGTGAATCAATTACATCGAATAAAGAAGATGTTTGTGAAACGGAAAAAATATCTGAAAATAATAATGACGATGACGATGATGATCAAGACAATAATCGTTCTAAATTATCTGTCATTGAAAATGAAAATAAAACAATGGAAACAACGACAACGAAAAATGTTTCAATCGACAATAATAATGATGATGATGATGGTGAAATTGTTTCCATCAAACAACAAAGGTAATGTACGAGATTCTATAAATAAACACAAACACACACACACACACAATACACAAGAGAGATACGAAAATACTGGAATGGAAACATGGAATTTATTTATTTATTTTTTTTTTTTTTTTTGATTTTCATAATGTGTAAATCATCATCATAGAAAATTTCAATTCCATGTAAATAAAATTTCTTCTCATTCGTAGACACAATGAATGAATGAATGAATGAAAATCAAAGATTTGAAAAATTTCAATTTGATTTGATTTGATTTGATTCGTGCTCTGATATAATATTCTCATCAGCTACTTGTACACACAATCTTTATTGATTTTTTTTTTTTTTTTTTCTAAAGATAAATAGATTCTTTATTTAATGGGACATATTGAATTTTTTCTTTTTCTTTTTCTTTTTTTTCGCCTAATGGAAATCAAATACTTGTCGTTTATGCTAAGATAGGATCAAATTTTCCCTTCAAAAAAAAAAAAAAAAAAAGATCGAAATTGAATTGTGTGTGTGTGGATTATTTTTGTTGTTGTTATTGTTTTCCAATAGTTCAAACTAGATTGATAGATATATATATTCAAATATTTAAGAGACTATTTAATGGTCTAAGTATGCATGCAATTCATTCATTCATTCGTTCATTCATCCATGCATTGAAAATTTTGCATCAAATTTATCTTTGGAAAATTTAAGTGGACTTAAATTTTCGATTTTCTATCGTTTTTCGTTTTGTTTTTCTGTTACACTTGATCACGAAATTTGAAGAAAATCCACTTTGAATTCAGTCTGTCTGTTTTCAGTCGATTTATCTATCTCTAAGTCCAGCAAGCAATTGTGTGTGTGTGTGGTGGTGTGTTTTGTAAAGAATTTAAAAAAAAAATTCTTTTTCAAGTGAGATTCATCCATTATTTTTACTTTGGATTTTTCACTAGCATGGGAAAAAAAATTCATTTCCTTTACACTCTTGCCAGAATGATTTGTTCGTTTTGCCAAAAAAAAAGAAAAAAGAAAAGAAAAGCAAAAAGAAATTTGTCTTTGTTTGAAAACACAAAATGTTTGGACTTGAATGTGTGTATGTGTGTGTGTGTGTTTGTGTTGGTTATAGAGAAACGAAGCGAAGAAAAAAAAAAAAAATGTTACATTGATCCACAATAATCAATATCAATAGAATTTTTTTTTTCGTTTGAAAATTTTTTTTCTGTTTCTTTCATGTGGTTTGTTGTTGTTTGTGATGATGATGATGATTGAGCAATCGAGAAAAAAAAAACTCATTCAAAGAAAGATTTTTTTTTGTATAAAATCAAAATCCATGTTGCAAGCAAGCGATGAATCATTATTCCCAAAAGCGTGGGCTATATATATTTTTTTTCATTTTGAAGTCAAAAAATCGAAAAATATCGTCATCGTCGTACTTAGTTCATTAGTTAGTCTTATCATCATCAATGATTTAAGTTTTCAACCATTTTCTCAATAATCACCTTTGATTTTTTTTTCTCCAACTTACTTCAAAGGTTCACATTTTATCAATTCAATCATTAATAATTTCTTCTTGTTTTTTTTCCAGAATCAACAACGACGATGCGAACGTGACACCAGATGATGATGAGATTAAAGATTCAAACGACGGTTCCCAAAAGACGAATCAAATGATAACTACTACTACTACTACTACTACTTCTTCTAGTGAACAACTAATCGATGAAAATAAATTATTGGATGAAATTAGTTCATCATCACAAGTGCAACAACAACAACAACAATCCATTAATAATGTTCTCGTTGAAAATGATGATAATGTTGGTGAACCTGATTCCAATAAAGGTGATTCAACGACAATTGTTGTCGAAACGGAAAATGAATCGATTCCTTTCAATAATAATGAAGATTCCAACAATGAAATCATACAAAATAACAATAATAATGTAAATGATGATGATGTGAACATGACAGATTCTTTATCAGAATCGAATCAAGAGCAAAGGCAAGAAATAAAACAACAGCAACAACAACAAAAAGAATCAGTTATAATTTATTCAAGAATTGATGATGGTAATATTTCTGATAGTGAATCTTTATGGACAAAAATTGATGATTCTGAATTGGAACGATCGGATAGTAATAAAAATTCTGAAAATATTAATAGTAGTAGTTTAGATGATGAAGATGTAGAACAACAACGATCAAAAAATATTGTTGACGATAATATTAATGATGATGATGATAATATTAACGATACAATCGATGCAAACATTTCTGTTATCAAAGAAGAAGATGAAGAAGATATGGAAGAAGAAGAAAAAGAAGAAGAAGGAGAGAAAAATAAACCACTAATGGAACAGCAAAATGAAATGAATGTTAATGAAGCTATGAAATCCAATGAAATGGCCGATAAAAATGATGATGGAGATGAAAAACAAAAACAAAACGTTAATAATAACGATAACCAGCAAGAAAATCTTGAAAGTTCATTTGTTTCTGAACAGCAGCAAGAACAACAAGAGAATTCGTCCATGAAAATTGATCAACAAAATCAATCGGACAATAATAATAATAATAATCTAACCAACGATGGTAAACAAATTCAAGATGGCAATAATAATGATCCCAAAGGAGAAAATGAAAATGAATCTAATTCTACCAATAAAGAATCAGAACGAATTTCAAGCAATAATGAAAATCTAGTTGAAACTCTAGAGATTAAAAAAGATGTTGATACTACTATTGAATCGTCAAAAATAATTCCAGATAAAATTCCTGATGAAAATAATTTAGAAATGGATGAAAATGAAATTGCAAAAAACATTACTGATGATAATGATGTACCTGTTAGTAATAATGTGGTGGATGATGATGAAAACATTAAATCATCTTCCAATGAAATTGATAATGAAAATTCAAATCAAATTATTGTTGACGAAAAAATCAATGATAAAAATGAAACGGTAGAATCTGAAGTCAAAAAAGATCAACAATCTGATGGAATGGAAGATTCGAATGAAGAAAAACTTCAAAAAATGATTGATAGCTCAACGAAAAGAATTTCGGCCAAATCAAACGTTCCTGATATGAATCATGGTATGATCTATCGATTTTTATGAATTTTTTGAAAATTTATTTAAATGTTTTTTTCCATCCATTCGAAAGATCGCCTGAATGAATTGATAAAAGGTTGGCTTGATGATGGAGATCTGATCCGTTTGGAACATGTTGTTATTGCCGGTCAAGGACATCGATTATTAAATATCGATTCTGATAACAAACAAGTTCAAGATTTTCTGAATTTAATACCACATTATATGGAAAAGATAAAAAAAATTCATGAATCAGTGATCAAGGGCAATTTTGAAGAGGTGCAAAAAACATTAACACGTAAACGATTTGCATTATGCCGTGATCAATATGGTAATTCACCATTACATTTAGCCGTTCTACATGGTCACGTTGATATTTTGCTATACATTATCACTCAATTTCCAGAAACAATTGATGGGCCAGATAATGTAATCAAATTTTTGTTATTTTGAATTTTTTTTACTGAAAAAAAAATTATAAACAAAAAATTTTCTTTTTTTTATTGTTTTTAATCATCATCATCATCATCATCATCGGCAACAATAACAACAACAACAACAATAGGATGGACGAACACCATTCCATTATGCGGCCGTTTTGCCCGATAAGCAAATATATCAAATTCTTGAAGCGGCTGATGCTAATAAAAACCAAAATGATAGATATGGTTTCACTCCGGTTGACTATTTGACTAACGGAAAATTGACGATTCGGGATTTGCTCATTAAATATAGTGATAAAGAAGATGATGTAGAGAAAAAAAATAAAGCTGATCTTTGGGAAAGGCCGCCAACGCCAGAAATCGTGTCACGTATGTGTTATCATTTTCTATATCTATCTTTGTACTAACAAGATTTTAAATTTTGTTATTTCTGTCTCCCATTCCAGAATTGACTCCTGAAAGCGGTTCGGCTCCTTCTTCAGCCAATGGTGGTGCTGATGTTGATGGTGGTGGCAATACACAGAAAAGAGCTTCTACTATTGATATGGATGAACAAAAATTATTAATGCCAAAGGCAGATGATCAATCAATGATCATAAATGATACGAAAGATAAAGAAAAAGAGATACAAGTTCTTCAAATTGAACCAAGACAAATGTATGATGATGATACTAATAATGGAGAAAAAGAAGAGCCACAGACAATTATAAATGGTAATGATTTAGGATCTGAATCAAATAAACTGGACAATACATCCGCTAGTAGTATAAATAATGATGGTGAAACAGTAATTGAATCATCGGAGAATACTAAAGAAAAACCAATATTGAAACGGATGGAAACATTCGATTCTAATAATAATAATGATAATAGTAATGGAAAAAAATCTAATGAATCAAAATCACCAGTGGATGATAAAATATTTGAAACATTATCATATGAATTTAATCAAACGCTTCGAAATGAAAAACTTCGTCTACGAGAAAGTATTGATCAACAAATTGAAAATTCTGATGTCATTAAAAAAGGACAAAATGGTAGCGTTATTGATAGTATACAAAATGCTCAAGCATCACAGCTGAAAATTACCAATGGTTTATCGGCATCTGGTTATGATCTTACACAGATTAAAGATGAACATGGCCGTACTGTATTACATTTAGCCGCTGCTAAAGATCAAAAACGTAACATTTTCTATAAAATGTTACAACAAGCCAAATATCTGGTTCCTGAACTTGATTCTAAATATCGTACAATACGAGATATCGCCGTACAGAATGGAATCAAAAATAATCTTCAAGTTATTGATCAATTTATTATTGATTGTTTCTTAAATGAAGATGCTGATTATCTTAAATTATTATTACTTGAAGGTTATGCTACATTATTGACTGTTGTCGATTCTGAAGGAAATGATGTAATATCATTATTGGAAAGAAATAATATAACTTCAATGCAAACGTTTATACATGAAGCGGCTGAATTACAGGTAAAATATAAATCGAATGTATTCATTTCATCATTAATTTTTTTTTTACTGGCCATGAATAGAAAATGAGAGATGAATTACATACATTCATTCGTAATGGCTATTTGGAAGGCGTTGTCGGTCTGGTGGATAATAATTCACAATTAGTTATAGCTAAAAGCAATCGTGGCCGTACATCGCTTCATTTAGCCGTTCTTTTTGGCAATTTGGATATTATTGAAATCTTGATCAAAGTAAATCATAAAGTCATCAATATACCTGATAATGTAAGTCGATTTTTTATTTATCATCATTTTGATGTTTAAATTCAAAATTTGATTATCGATTTACTTATCGATATTTATATAGTTGGGACGTACACCATTACATTATGCAATGGCAATGAGTAAAATGGAAGAGATGGGCCGTATTCTTATACATTCTGGTGCTGATAAAGCTATACGAGATGTCGTATGTATCTCTTTTGATTACTATATTTCTATTTCTAACCTTTCTTTATTTTTAATACAGAGAATGAGAATACCAAGCTATTATTTCGTTTACAAACAAGATATTCGTGATATTAAACGTGAAGAACAAAATTTAACCATTTAAATGTTGTTGAAAAGAAAAATTCTATTGTCATATTGATTTAGAATTTAAAATATAGCATAAAAAACAATATATTATTCTTATTCTTAGTTGTAATTGAAATCAAGTTCAACAACAAAAAAATGGATTATTCTCAATAAATTCGATTTTCAGTCTTTATTGTCGTGTATAGTTCTTTTTTCCATTAACAGATGGCAGCACATCCATTAAATTCAATTTTTTCATAATTTCAAGCTAAAAGTGCTAAAATGAAGATAAGATTGTTTACATGAAACGAATTTTATTTGTTTCAGAAAAGCTTTATATGTAAAGAATCAAAATCGAAGATTGTATAGCAAAAAAAAAAAAAAACAATATAAAGAAGAGTTATTAAAGAATCACTGGATAATGGAGAAAATTTTCTGTTAATGAATGAATAGGGTGTGGAGAGTTAAGAATCAAACATTGCCAAACATTGGAAATTGAATTGCAACACAGAAATCAAACACGACTGAACTTGAGACCAGCTAGAATTCCAGTATAAAACAAAAAAAAATGAATATTAAAAATTTTTAAATAAAATTCCAATATCATACCTTCATCATTAGAATAACAATTTTGACAATGTAACTTATTATTTCTTACTCGAACATCAGTGCCAACGGTACCATTGCCTTTAATTTTGAATAAAATGATAACGAGTTACTTATAACGCAGAAAAAAAACCAAATTTTACTTACCAAGTTGAATGTTACAAACAGAACACCGGAAACAATTAATGTGATAATAAAGAGAAAGTGATTCAACGACCATGGCCGCACAACCTTTGCCCAATTCATCACCACATTTTGAACATTTCTTTTTTCCCGACACTGATAAATATCCAGGACAATTTTTATTATTAGCTGCCATATTCGAAACTTGTGATGATGATGATGGTGGTGGTGGTGGTGGTGGCTGGTGCATTCTTTGTGTAGATTGTCGTAATTCGGCTTCCTGTATGACCCAATGATTTGGATTATAGCCATTGGCACCATAACGACTTGTTGTTGGCAGACGTGTTGCATTATTCGGCATCGTGGATTGTTTCGAAACGGGAACAGGTTTCATCATATGTGCATTTCCAGTCGAACCCAAATAAGGCTTAGGATAATAAAGATATTGAGAATTTACATATAGTGGATTCAAGGGATAATGTGATGGTTGAGGTTGTGTTTGGAAAATGGGCTCTGGTGGTGGATAAAAACTCACCAGATCATCTCTAGCCGGTAACATCATTGTTTCAGGGCTATCAAAGCAATAAATCAAAATCATTAGTTAAATTTGATGATTAAATTATATTATATTATACTAACCTGTTTTCATAATTATGAAATGTTTGAGAAGTGGTAATGATTTGATTCTGATATACCGGATGATGATCATCAGATGCCGGTGGCATTGTTGTCTGTATCGATTTGGTTATCTGAATTGGTGGCAATCCAACATCATCTGAAATCGTGTGAAGATAACTACCAGTTTTGCCTGTTGTCATAGGTATTTTATTGTCCATCAAAAATTCATGTTTAGAGCTACTATCAAAATTACCATGTAATGATGTAATATTTGAATAATGATCATTTGGATAAGGTGCAACCATTGATGGATGTTTTATTGAAGTAGTTGTTGTCGTCGTTTGTAAGGGTGGTTGATTCTGATAAATCTGTTGTTGTTGTTGTAATAATTTTTGACTTGCATTACGAATAGCATCAGGATCAGCGATAATTTCATTGGATAATATTGTTTGTGATTGGACATTTGGTGGTTGTTGATGAACATAGGAGGAGGCAGTGTTCGAATGAATCAATTGTGTCGGATGTTGATGTTGATTGGTAGCTAGTGAAGGAACATTTTCATAAATATTATTCATTGATGATTGTTCACGTTGTGATCGTTCGACAGAATCATTCATGGTTGTTTTATTATTAATCACTGGTTGTTCATTCATTTTCATCGCCTGATTTGGTTGTGATGATTGTGTTTTTGGCGTTTGAATTTTCAATGGTTGTGATGATTTTTGTCCTATGGTTGCTTTGGTCGTTGCTGTTATCGTTGGTGATGATGATGATTGTGGCTGTGGTTGATCGATCGTAGTTAAAGTGTTTGTTTCGAGTTTTTCTTTGAAATTGTAAACAACTGAATTGGTCGGTTGATTTTTGCATGTCAAATAATAATGATCTTCATTATTATTGTTTATGTTGTTGACTGGTTTGTTAACATTTTGTATCGGTTTATTATTATTAGCTGATTTTTTGATAGAAGAATCATTGTTTCCATTGTTATTAGCATTTTTATTCTGTAATGAAGAACTGGAAACAGAACTTGAAGCTGCCAATCCATGTTTAGGCTGTGAATTAATATTAGACAATGACTTTGATCGTTCAGCGGCCAATTTTGCTCGATTTTGTTGTCGTTTAAGGTTAGCTTCAGCTGCACGTCTAGCTGCTTCTTCTTCTTGTTTGGCTAAAATTTCGAATGTATGAAGTTTTGCTTTAAATGATCTTTCTTGATCTATCCTTAATTTTTCCAATTCTTCATCCAATTCTTCTTCATCATCAATTTCAAAGCTACTATTCTGTGTATTTGGTACATCATCTTCATTTGATGAAGAATATTTTCTCGCTAATTGTTGTTGTTGCAAATTTTGATGGCTTGATTTCCAATCATTGATTGGCACATGAACTTTTTTGTCCGAATGAACAGGTGAATCATTTTTGCCACTATCAGTGACAGAATAAGGCGATGCTTTCTGAATTCCTTTAGAATGATGATCATCTTTATCAATATTGGATGATTTATTTGGTTTCTGCTGTTGTTGTATATCACATTGTTGTTGTTGTTCAGATTTGACACTAAATTCTTCCAGAAGTGATGTATTAAAAACGACAACTTCACCAAGACCATTTCTAGACATTTTATCCATATTCATGTCATCAGTTGAATTGTTCATTTCCATGAAACGATCCAAATTGGTTTTCGTCTTTGATTGTTCATTTACAGTTGAATTCGAATTTTTTGATCTGCTGCTCTCCATATTCGGTCGTGAAACATTTGACTCACCATTCGTTTTGGTCATTTCATCTAAATACTCTTCTAAATGGTTGGATGAGAAAAAAATGAATGCCAAACATTAATTACAATGTGTATTAATTAGGACACAATCATTAATATAATCGCATTTTAGATAAACTTCAAAATGTATTATATTTGCAGTTTTTTTTGGCATGCATAAGTGAACGTGAGCAATGTTTGTGTGTATAGGCTACAACAAACAAATAATATAACTCTATCTTAGGTGATATCACCTGAGTAACACAATAAAATTTACACAATGTATATGTTGATGACTAACCTTTTGTCGACATAAACTCTGTTATTTGAGAATTATTAAAATCATCTTCCAAATCTGGATCAATGTATTTATGTAGATTATAGCCAATTCTGGCGCCTGACTTAGCTTTTTCATTTAATATCTCAGAAAATGTTTTCGTTTTACGATTAGGATTACGTGGCAATGCTTCATCTAAATAATGGAAAAAAAGTTAATAATAATTCGTTTTATTTGAAAAAAATGTAGACAAGCTCGGTCAACCATACACACACACACACAAACCTTCTGAATGATTTTTCGTCAACTTTCGTTTGGATTTCCAACTCATCAGATTATTTTGCCATTCTTCTTCAACTTCTTTAATTTTTTCTTTGGTAATCTTTTCTTCTTCCGCTAATTTTATCTGTTCAACGGCCTATTTATTACAAGAAAAAAAGGGAAAATTGAAAAATAAGTTTCAGAAAAAAAAATAATCAACATACCGTTTTTGAAAGTTCATTTTTTTGTATCTTAACAAATTGTAATGGATCAATTGGTGGAATTTTGATCTCCGGTCTAATGACAGCCGAAACACGATGCGTTGTAATGCAACCGATTGGTGGCGGTAGATGGGAATTACTATTTTGTCGATTACTACTACCATTAAGACTACTATTTGTTGATGAATTATCCGAATCTTCGGATGATTCAACCGAATCTGATGATCGATACGATTCTTTCCAGCTTCCACGTTCGGAAGCATTATGAGACATTGTCAACATTTATGAAAAGGGATTTTTTCCTACTTGAATTCTTTGTCAATGAAATAAACAAAATATCAAATTTTTTTTCAAAAATATCGTCGCTTTTGACCAAAAAAAAAAATCTAAAAAGTCATGATCATTATTGTCGTTGCCGTATCAGGTTTAATTGATTGCCACGGCTATTTATGACCATAGTAACAAAAATTGATGACAATCTGATTTTGTTGATGGGGTTATGTTGATTTTGGTTGCCGTTGTATTTATCAAGGTTAATTATAAGAATCATCAATGCATTGGTTGAATCGTAAACACACAGAAACATAAGCACAAAGGTTCTTTTTTTGCTGTAAAAAAAATCTTAACTAGTCATCAGAGAAAAAAGATACCAGCGGTTATTATTATTGACGTGGCCAGTTTTTTCTTGTTTTAATTTGAATTTTTCAATTCAACAATAATGAACATTAATTGTTTATGAAAACACAATTAAACCACGAAGAATCGAATGACAAAATTTCTATTTGTTTTCACAAAATATTTTCCATCATTGTTGTTATGGATTCACGCAAACAGTTTTTTGTTGTTGTTGTTGTTGTTGATCAAATATGATGAGATTATATTTAAAAAATGCTGTTTACGTTTCTATTTGATTTTTATTGATTGACGGATGGATGAAATGGATGTTTGGTTAGTGAATGATTGGTTGGATTAAATGCCAGATTGTTTTTTTTCCTGTTGATTTAATTGCTTCTTTTTGTGGTTTTCTTTCTCGCTCGACATACAAACAACAAATGAAATGGCGCAATGTTGGCAAACAAACAATCTATATGTATACAAAAAAAAACAATTATTTTCAATTGAAAAAAAGTCTAAATGGAAAAAAATTAATGTTGTTTTTATTGCTTTAAAATTAGTTTATTATCATCATCAAATATAATGGGCCCCGTTATTTTATCATTATTATAATGGAATATTGATCGTCGGCAATAATAAAAAAGGAAAAGAAAACAACAATAATAACACACGTTTCATTTACCATTTGTTAATTATTACATCATCGATACATATGGAAATGAAAATAATAATAAAAAAAAAATAAACGGCTATATGCGCGCATGTATCGATTGTGTAAAATCTTTTTGTTTTTCTTCAATTGAATTCATTCATTCAATGAAATGAAGGTCCTATGATCATGAAACATTCAAATTATTTATCGGAAAATTTTTTTTTGTCCACGCACACACACATTCAGCACACTTGACATTCAATAATTATATTTGATATAACCGATGAATCATAAAATCGAGAAAAAAAAATTCGGTCGTGACAACCCTCAGAAAACGATATAGTAAGCAAAAAATAAATGAAATCAAACAAACTATATATACATTTTTTTTCATATCGTCTCATAACAAACACACATACATATGGAATGAATAAATAAATATATAAAAAATTTATGCTCTCCATACACATTATTATTTACACAACACTGTTGATGACCACACACACACACACAACAACAACACAAACATCTGTAAGATGTGAATTGAAAAAAAAAAAAAAACCAAAAACAAATAAATATAGAACAATAACACCTGTTGATAAGATTGTGATATTAATGATTATGATGATGATGATGTTCAGAACATAGGAAAAAATAACTTATGTAGTCCATTAATAGATAATCATCATCATACATACACAATACACACGCACTTAAACAACAATAGATGATTTTTGTTACGTTGGATTCTATTGCCAAAATATTTTAAATACAGACAAAAAAAAGGATATTGAACAACAACAACAAAAAAATATGGAGCATTTCAAATTGGTTTGTTTTTTCATTCAACATAACCAAACCGAAACCAGAAATATTGATATATATTGCTATGTAGAAAAAAAAATTAGACACACCGTGACAATAATAATTGTTGACAATTTGAAAAAAAAATTCATTACATGCATGTATTTCATATACGGAAGTATGCCTTGTTGTCTGTTGCTATCCATAAAGATTCGGTATCTGATCACTTGTTGTTGTTGTTGTTGTATACACTAAATATAATTATAGTAGTATAATAAAGGCTGCAAGGTAAATCTTTTACACACATATACACACGCAAATGATAAAGAAAATTATCCATGCTATTGTAGGACAATTGACATTACACATGCAAGTGATCTACATGTTCATATTCTTGAATTTCATTTGATGATTCATGGACAAAAAAAAGAAGCGATTCGATAATCATCAATTGATTAGATTTGAATGATGATAACATGAAGAATATCATGAATACAAAGTAGTACAAATACAAAAAAAACAACGTTTGATATACCTTGATTGATGTTTATTGTAAACATGGAAAAATCATATAAATCATATATCATATAGCAATGGATTAATAAAATAATTTAATATGTTAGTGTAGATGCACGCTATGATCAAAAATACAAAAAAAAAAAAAAAAACACATTGGAAACACAAATGAAATGGCGAGCTAGTGAAAGAAACAGAGCAAAAATATTTGAGAAATAAAAACGATGAATTGAAAATCAACCAGACTATGACGATTATGTTGATGATGATGGCTTCGCTGAACAGGTTCGGTGAGTGAAAATATAAAATGAAATAACGGTTCATATGTAGCCACACAATTCAACAACTAACGACGAGAAACTCTTAAAATAAACTTTTTTTTAAACCACCATCAACATTGGACAACAACAAGACATTTTTTTCTCTCTTTCTCTCTCTTTTTCCAAACTTTTCGGGCGTATAATACACAATGTGTGTAATGTGTCTCGTTTCTATCCATCGATCATTCAGACGAATTTTTTTTTTCATTTCATTCGTTCGTTTGTTCATTCAAAATTGATAAAACCCGTACCGGGTGTATCGGTCAGTCGGTCGGTCGGTCGTTCGGTAAGTCAAATTGACGGACAACTAACAACTATGTACTATTGTTAATCGAGATTATATCTCTTTATATACACACACACACTAGATTAATAGTATTCAACAGATAAATATCGGACATCTAATCAAAAAAAAAGACGAAAAATGAAAAGAAAAACATATAAAGAAGGATTAAAGATATCAGCAAACGAGTAGAAAAAAAACCAGGAAAAAAAGTAAAAGCTATGATGATGATGATGATGAACTGTTGGATCCAAATGATGATCGTTCTCTTTTTTTTCATGCTGTCGATTCAAGTTCTTCAACAACAACAAAAACAACAACAACAACAACGAAAAAAAAACAATCTTTGAAAAAAATGGTTCCATGCTTCAAAGAGATATCATAGTTGCTGTGAATGAATTTACTCTTGTAATATTTAACCAAAAAAAAACTATAGAAAACTAGGACATACACATACACACATATATATGAAAATGTCAAGTAGCTGAAAAAGACAGCTGTCTTGTTGTTGTTGTTGTTGTTGATGATCAAGTAAGAGAACAAAAATCGTCCAACCAACCGATTGACCGGCATCATTGACGATGATGATCATTTATGGGTACTAGTTGGCGCCATTCAAGATTTTCCATTTCGTTTATTTTATTTTATTTTATTTGTTACATGAAATAAATGAATATATATCAAAGAACAATCAAGAAAAAAGACATACACACACACACACACACAGATTCATTGATTGAATCTATTTTTTTTATCATTATTATTGTTCATCCACAATTCAATATAAAATACAATTTAGATTGTCACACACACACACACACACACACACTGTTAGACAGACAGAATGTGTAATCAGAACAGAAAACAAAATTGGGCCAACAAACAAAAAACAATGAAAAATTTAGTTTAATATAAAAAATATATAAAACGAATCAAAGAACAAAAGAATTTGATTTTTTTTCATATGAAATTTTTTTCTGTGACCGACAAAACAAAAAAAAAAACAAATCGGCCGCAACAGAAAATTTTTTGAATGAATACACACACACACACAAAAAAAAATCCGGTATTAAAATTGAAACAAATGGATTCTGAATATGTACACATGGACAGGCTATTAAAATGACAATTTTTTTTTATTATTTGGAGAATAAAAACAACAAAATGAAAACTGATTATCACCTTTTGATGAATCGAATGAGAAAAAATCGATAAAAAAATCCGATTTGTCAATGCTAATAGGAAAGGAGAAGAAAAAAGTACAAAACAACAACAACAACAGCCATTTTCAATGAATAAAACATCATTTTTTCGACAATAAATGACATACATAAGAGAAAAAAATTGATGCGGAAGTTATACAACAACAACAAATGTGATAAAATAGTAGTAGTGGTAGCGAAATGTTAAAATCATCATAATCAAATCATTAAATTACATTTACGGCAGCAGATGTTCAAAAAAAAGATAATTTTTTTCATTCATCATTCAACAAACATACACACACACACACAAAATACGACAATTTCAAATATTAATTTCACATTTCAAATCCAATTTGTCGATATAGAAGAAATAAATTAAAGAGATAGAGAGAGATGAAAGAAAAAAATTCAACATAATCACCTTACATCATCTTTTTTCACACTACCGTTTTGATTTTTTTTTCTCTTTACATCTCAACACCTGTGTATATATTCAATGCGAAAAAAAATGAAATTTACTACCGGTCAAAGTAAATGTCGTATTGATAAAAATCATCATTAAAATTAAGACAAATTTTCTTAATCACCATAAAATTGTATTAAAAGGATTTATGGTGGAAAAAAGACTCCATCATCATATATTAAGGACACATTTTAATATAAAAATGTTGACATGAATAAAATTGGATTAGATGGCAAAAATTTACGATTGAATGAAAAAAAAAAACTTGGTGGTCGTATTATACAAGGACTGAGCGAACATTTGTTTCGACAGAACAAAAAAAAAGACTGATTTATTCATTCGATATATGAACAATTGATGTGAATTTTTCCGTTCCCAGAAATAAATTTTTTCTTCTCTGATTTTTCATATTAATCAATTGAATCATCGAAATTGATAGAAATATATCTCATTTGAATTTTTGGTAATTTCAACGGAGAAAAAAAAAGGAAAATTTAATTTCCTCTAAAATGTAATCTAGATTTCAATTTTGTCTTTTTTTTCGTTTTGTATTCAAAAATTTGAAATTCAATTTTGTTACACCTTGATTTCGTTAACATTTTGTCATTTGAAATGTATTTTTTTTTTTCAAAATCGAATAACAATGACAATAATAGAAAATCAAAAGGCGAAAAAAAAATCTGGATAAATCCAGATTTCACAAAAGAAAAACAATCACCTTTTTTCATCATCATCATCATCAGAAAAAAATAATAAGAAATCGAAATGACAAAATTAGAATCATTGACAGATAGATGATAAATGAATCGATAGATTTATAATCGAAAGATATTATTATTTTCATGATGAATGATTGTCTCAAAAATAAAAAATATTGAAACAATAACAACAAAAACATGTTATTTATACCTAAATTGCCACATACATATGTCCAACATGTTGTTGTTGTTGTTGACCTCTTAATACCTGGACAAACAGAAAAAAACTAGATTGATGACCGTTATAGCTTATAAAACAACAACAACAACAACAACGAAAAAAAAATAATAATAAATAAAAACAAAAGAACGAACGATTTTGGACAGGTAATTACGCAACATCGGCATTAGCATCATCTACACTACAATTCGTGGAGCCCCTAATCAACCATCAATATTATTATTATTATTATTATGAAGCCAAATGAACGAAATATAAAGCAATGGCAAGAAATATATAAATCTATCGTCATGTAGAAAAAAAGTGTCATCATAATCATCATCATCATCATCATCATTATTATTATTATAATCATCCTGGTTATAATCATCACGAATTCCAAAATGAATGAATGTTTTGGAAAACCAAAAACAAGTATATACCAATCATAATGCTTCATCATCATTCAATTCAATCAATTCATATAATACAAAATACGCGTGTAATAATTTTTTGTTCACTCGGAAAAAAATTTTTTTTGATCATGGAAAATGGAGAAAAAACATCTATGGTCAACCTGACAATGTAATGGAATAATTTTTTTTTCATTTTTGATTATCTTTCATCATTATCATTCTCTCATTGTACACTGAATCTATTCTTATGTTATATATGGACAAACATCAATCAAAAGTAAATAAATCAAACTATCATATACATCACCAAATAAATGATTTGAAATGAAATGAAAAAAAAAATTTCAAATCTGATTACAATTACAGTCACATTCACATACACACACAAACACACAAAAAAACAAACAAACAAACAGGCACGCATAAATCGAATTGAATCAAAATAAAAAAAAAATCAAACAAAATATAAAATGACATGAATACAATTTTACCGTTATCATCATCATCATTCAAAAAAAAAAAAAATCAAAGCTCATCACACAAACACACACATCTTCAAATCAACAATAGGATTAATTGATCGATTGTTGTTTGTTGACCATTTTCATTGTTGAATCTATTCTGCCAAAAATAATAATAATAATAATAATAATGACCCGAAATGAATAAGAAAGAAAAACAAATCTAAACAAATAACGGACTTACTGTCCATGATGATGATGATGATGATACAATGACCATAAACAATGACCAACCAATGAATAAAAAAAAAACTGCACCCAAATCGTAATGGATCACAAACAAAACAAACGAGTCCAAGTTTATTTAAACAAAATAGATAGATAGAGAAAAAGAGAGAAATAGAAATAAATATTAAAAAAAAACGAGGCCAAAAAACTATAATGAAAAAAAATTTCAAATTTCAGAAAGCAAAAAAAACGAAAAAAATATCGAGGTGAGTTTCTCTAGAAAACAACAAAAACAACAACAAAAATTCAACAACAACAACAATTCAATCATTCATTCAAATTCAATTCAATCACTATACTTATGCCACTGGAAATTAAAAAAAAAAAAAAAACATATACCAGTTATTATGATTGATGTGATGTGTTGTGATGAGATTGTGTCAAAACAACAAAACCCACCTTAAGGTTAATTAAATTTTTTTTCTTCTTTTTTTCAAACTTTACATTTATATAATCACACACAAGTTCATCATTTACAATTATGTATTACATATATAATAAAAAACAATAACAGAAACAGCAACACATCACTCTCTCACACACACATAAGCATCTTGACAATGTCAATAATAATTATTTATATAAAAAAAAAGACAAGTGACAGAAAAAAAAAAAAAATAATAATAATAAAAACCAGTAGTTTTGCTTTGTTCATAGTCAAACATTTTGACAATCATCATCATCATCATCATTTTGATCATTTGGACACAACTGGACAATCATTATCATCATCATCAGAATAAAAAAAATGGATAAAAATAGCTTCAAACTAGATCAACAAAAGACAAAAAATGTGTGATGTATACATTTTTTTTTTTTTTTTTGGTTTATTAAAATACGTTTGTTACAAATATATAATTGTCATCATTTGAATTGGAAATTTTTTACCAAAAAAAAAGATTAAGTTTCAAAAAAGACAAAACAAACAAACAAATAACATATAGATTATGAAGATGGATTCGGTCATCAGATTTTTTTTTGTTGGAGATTATAATCGTAAATTTAAACAAAAGATAATAATAAACATTTAATTGATATTGCCACAACAAAAGAAACTAAACAAAAGAAAAAACAAGTAAATCAACAACAACAAAAACAACAACAACAACAAGGCAAATAATGGTCCTAGAATATAATTGCGATCAAAAAAAAAAAAAAAAAAATTAATTTTGACAACAGAACAGATTTAGCCTTAAAGGGAAATCAGTATGTTTTTTTTCTAATTTTGATTCGAATAAAATTATCTATAATCCAAACATATAATTGATGAATAATGATCACTTTTTTTCATTTCTGATTGAAACACGATGATGATGATGATGATTTTCCATCATCGTAATCGATAATCATTCTATAGATAGACATAATTTGATCATCAATTTTGATAAAAATAATTCATTATTAGTGAATTGGAAGAAAATAAAACAAAACAGACAAAAACAACAGCAACAACATTGCCTAACTTAAGGCTATTGAACAATTGATTTGATAAAAGAAAAAAAAATAATCTGACCAGCCTATCTTATAAATATTATATATAAATGAAATTCAAATCGGATATCGATTTCGATTAATCGATCAACTATCAAATCTAATGACACACACACACACACACACAAAACAACAATCAAGATTAAACGAAAATAAACCAGGAAATGACAATCTATTGATATAAATCACATCAATCATCATATTTAATAAATAAATAGGTGAAAGGAGGGTTAAATAATAAAAAGTTTTGGATTCTTTCTTTCAATGAAAAATGAAAACTCTAAAATCAGATTTTTCAATCCATCAGATTGATTGATTGATGAAAAACATTTTTGTGTGTCCAATAATAATAATAATGATAGATAACCAGGTATCCACTAATAATAATGTGTGTGTGTGTGTGTGTCATAGATATAGAAATAAAAAAAAAGACAACACGAACCTGTTATTATTATTATTATTGGAAACCAACGAATGAATGATGATTGGCTTTAGAGGATTTTAAGATTTTTTTTTGATGATGGTGTTGGAAGAAAATGAAAGGATTTTTTTTTATTAGAATTGAATGTGTTGAAATGGAAATTGAATTGAGACGCTGATCATGATGATAATGATGATGGATAATTATTTACTGATTGATGAAAATTTTTTGGGTGAAATTTTTTTTTTTTTTGGTTCCCGATGTTTGGATGATGATGGTAATTTTATAAAAATGAAAAAAAACTGAAATAGAAAAACAAAAAATTTGGTCATTGACCGGCCACAGAAACAAAAAAAAGAAGAAAAGTGTTTTTGGATGATCTGTGAACAAAAAAAAACAACAAACAAAAACAAACAGTGGTGAAAAACTGAATTTTTCTTCAATTCTTATCCACAAAATAATAGTTATCAGTTATCATGGAATGATTTAGGTTTTCATTTCATTTCATCATGGATTAATGAATGACAAAATGATTATGGTCAATCAAAGATGAGTTTTTTTTCTGTTCATAAGTCAAAAGAAGATCTTTTTTATTTCTATTGCAGCTAAAAATATCAATACAAAACCAAACTGGCAATAATAATAATCATCATCATCATCATCATCATTACAAACAATCAATGTTGAAAGAAAAAACAACAACGATAATAATCATTGTATAGTTGTCATTTTATCATCATCATCATCATCATCATTGATGATAGAGTGGAAAAAAATATTACGTTTTTTAAACGTCACACACACACACAAACAAACAAACAAACAGATGGATTGATTGGCATCCAGACACACACACACACACTTTTGAACGGACACACAACGTTTAAAAGATTCCAAAAATATTTTTTTTTCTTGTTATTTGAAAAAAAATTTTCTATAATTTTTTTTTTTTCTTTCTCAACAAAAAGATCAATGAATTCGATATGGATGTGTGTGTGTGTTGGCTAGAAACGAAAACAAAATTGGATTGTGTTCAATAATCATAAATTGATTGATGAACGGATGTTGATGATAATAGAGCCAATCTATCGTTCATCATCGATCATCGATTCTATCAGAAAAAAAAAAATCGATGAATGATGAGAGAAAGAGAAAAAACTATTGACAAACGGGTTGACATTGTTCAATTCTGCGGGCAGAAAAAAAAATGATGTTCACATTTATGGCTGCTGAATGGTCATCATGGAAATATTTTTTTTTTGTCGAAAAGTTGGGATTTACAGCATAACAACAACAACAACAAAAACAACAAATGTTCTCTCAAGAAATTTTCTTCAAAAAAATGGACATATTTTGTTGGTTGGAAAAAAAATCTACAACTCTTTTCTTCACGCAAGATTATTATCAAATTTTTTTTCTGTTCATTTAGGGATTTTCTCATCTTAAAAGTTTTTTTTTTGATTCGAAAAAAGGATGTCGAACCACAGTGTTTGTGTGTGTGTGTGAGAAATCCACATAAACGATGATTTCGTTTCGTTGTTGTTGATAATTGCAAACAATCATGAGAGGCAATGCAAATATACAAGTTATAGAATGGACCAAAACAAAGGCGTGGATAGTGATGGTTTCATCAAAAAAAAAATAATGAGAAAATTTTTCAAAACTAATCAACAGGCTGACGATGTAATAATAATAATAATGTTTAATTGTACTAATCAACGTTTTTTTTCAAATTGAAAAAAAATATTTGTCTTTCAATCGATCCAGAAAATTGTCCGAGCAAAATTGATGATCAAACATTCGAATTTTCGAACGAAAATCAATTTTCAAACAAATGTGTTCGAATTTCGGGATAATCAAACAAAAAATTAATCGGCATTGACTAAATAAGAATTAAAAACTTTTTTTTGGTTTACATACCTTGAAACAATTAATTCATGATGTAATTAATTGACAATAATCATAATTTTTCATAGTTGGATTGTCATCATTTTTAGATAACACAAATTTTTTTTAACAAAATGAAAATCAACAACAAACAAACATTATCTGGACACAAACAGCAGCAGCAGCAGCAGGCAGAAGCATTAAAATATTTTGTCATTAGTTCCTTGTGTTTGTGTTGTTATGGACAACGATGATGATGATGATGATGATGATGGCAGCTGCTGTTGCTGTTGTTCATTCATTTCAACGTTGACCTTCTGACCGAAACAAAGTTCGTTGTTTGAATACAAACACAAATACACACAGACACACACAAACATTTCAATAAGATGTTCATATATATGAGTAATAAATATAATAACACATATATTTCACACAAGTAAAAATTTTTCTTTTTTTTTTTTTTTTGGCTGCTCAAAAGTTTCAACGTGGGCCGTGTCTTTTCTCTCTCTTTCTCTTTATCTCTATCTATTCCCCTTCTTAAAATCGAAATCTTTATATGAATGAAAAAAAAAAAACAACGAAGCCAAACAGTCTCTCTTTCTCTCTTCACGAATATCACACACACAGATCGAAGACACAAAAAACAGGGACCCAAATATTCAATTTTCGAATTACGCATGAGCCAGAAATGAAATATGATCACGTGATGAATAATTCAAAAACAATGTGACATTATTTATTGACAGAGAATTTTTTTCTGGGTTTTATTTTGTATACTCTGTGTGCATTCAACATTTGTGATTTTTTTGTTTGGTTAGAAAATTTTTACATTTTTTTACTAAAATCAAATCAAAACAAATGTCATTTTTGTTCCAAATGAAATTCTGATTAATTGAATTCTATTTTTGCTTTTGTGATACACACACACACACAGTTTTGGATTGAATACAAAAAAAAAAATGATGTCGTCATTATTGGAATCAAATATCATCGATAATGATGAAAATTATGAAACAACCACAACATGGAAACAACAATCAATTTCATTGCTATTCACCATTTTTCTTTCAATATTATATCCAGCTTCACTTTATGTTTGGCGTGATTCAGCCCGAATTGATCGTAATGATCCAATGATTATAAAAAGAAATTTCTTTAGCGTCACAATCATATCGTTGATTTCATTACAATTATTAAATCTATTTCGACAATTCACTAGAACTTTGCCACCAGATTCACCATTAATGGCCGATTCAACAATTATTATTAATTATTTTATTTATAAACATTATCCAAATAATTGGAATCTTATCGCTGATTGTGTGATCAAACCGATGATGTTCATTATGATTCTATTTATTGGACCAATTTTTTGCGATTTAAATTTAAATAATATACGAAATTATAAAATTATAATGAATAGAACATCTATATACAATATGATTCAATCATCATATAATTTATCAATATTGAAAATATTACGAAATCTTATTGTTGCACCATTTACTGAAGAATTTTTATTTCGCGGTATATTGATCGCCATTCTATCACCATTTTGGTCAAAATTATCATGTATATTGATATCATCAACATTATTTGCATTGATGCATACACATTCATGTTTGGTACGATATTTTATTAATGATAAATACGATTCGGATGATATTATCGCTACAATTATTCAATGTATTTATACCGGTTTTTTTGGTATTATTGCTGCCGTACATTATCTATCATACGGTCATCTTGTTACACCTATTCTGTTGCATTTCTTTTGTAATCTTAATGGTTTACCAGATTTTCCAAGGATATTGGAAAATCGTTTCTATTTTCATTTAACTATTGTTGGATTTACAATCTGGTTTTATTATTTCATTAATCTATTCATAACATTATTATGATTCATTCTTGGACCATTTACCACAAACAAACACATATTGACTAGTCATTTTAATTGGCCTGCTACTCTATAATTGATGATCATAACAAATGTCAGAAAAAAAATAACCAAAATTCATTTGCCAAAAAATTAAATAAAAAACAATAAAATCTGAATTTAAATAAAAACAAAATTAATATTACCATTTTATGACAATAGATGGCGATTTGACTGGCTCAAATTATTTTGTTTTCATATTATTATAATATATCATCAATGTGTTGATAATGGATGATTCGAAAACGAAAAAAATTCGTATCATCAATCATTTTGAACATCATGAACGACAAGAATTATGTCAAACACGACCAAAATATCGTAATGGTCGACGACAAACAGCTATCAAAGTTTTCACCATTGCTGATGAATCATTTTATCTTTTAATACATAAAGTTCCCATTTATCCGGTGTTAATGTTGGTGAAGATCTGAGAATTCTATGCGAAACATTTGGTACAATCGAAAAATTTGAATTGGTCGATTATCCACAACAACAACAACAACAAAAAGAATCATTCACAAATGTTTACATGGTTAAATATGAAAAAATAATTGATGCAATTCGTGCAAAAAAACGTATGGATGATTATGAATTTCTTGGATCATTATTACATGTTTGTTATGCACCTGAACATGAAACTATTGCCGATATTCGTTGCAAATTGAATGCACGTAAACGTTATGTTGGTATAAAATTGGCACAATGTACAAATTTATTGAAGAAAAATAAATAATTTTACAATTGAATTTGTTTATTACTACGTTCAATACGATGAACAAGAAATGCATTAATATCTAAATCGATTTTAGATGAAATATCCAAAATCATATCATCGGTAATCACTTGTGATAGCTGAAATTTTGAATCACCAGAACATGACCATTGTTGTTGTGTGGATTTTGATGATAATATTTTCGAATCATAAAGATTAGCCATTTGTCGTAAGAATTCACAATCATCGTTAATCAATAGATTCATTCGTAAATCATAATCTTTTTCATTCAAATCGATTATGGCACGATAAATATGATATGAACGTTCCAATTCAAACCATTTTGGACATTTTATTTCATTATCTTTGATATTCATCGATTTCTTGGAACGATTATTTCGTTGATTACGAACAAAAAAACGAATGTCTGTTTTTGTTGAATTATAAGTGGCAAGATATGCGCTTACATATGTATAACATAATGATGGTGACATTGATTCGATAAATTGGCGGACATTTTTATTCAAACCATTTATGACCATGCCGCTAATTTGATCCATTATTTCCTGTAGATATGGTTGAAATTTTACATACAAATGTCCACTTTTATTGTATAAAGCGATTTCATCATCATTCAATGGTGTGGTATATTTTTCAAAATATTTATGACAAATAAAATTTAGATTAGGAAAATCATTCTCAAATGGTGTCAATGTTTTCAATATAAGATTGACAAATGTTCGATACAATTTATGTGTATCATTTTTGGGCAATAATGATGATTGTGTTAATAATTGAAAAAGTTCTTCCTGTTCATATGGTTCAAATGATATTTGTAATGCATTCATTTTGAAATCTGTGGTCAATCGAAATAATCGTTCCAAATGATGTTTGAAAATCCAAATCACCGTAATCGGACATATGTGGCCAGTTAATTGATCAAGATTATTCAATAAATAGATTAAATTTTCATTATTTTCTTCAATTAAAATATCAGCATTATCGATAACGATGATGATTTTATTATTATCATGTAAACTTGTTTTTTGTCGATATATTTGCAATAGTTTTATCATATAATCAATAAATTGAATTGGATTTAAACATTTTTTCGATACAAATTCACTATCATCATCATCATCGCCATCATTGTCGGTGTTTGAAAATTTTTCATTTAAATAATCTTTAAATTGTTGTAGAATTTTATCATAAAAAAATCGATTCGAATTATCCAAATTTATCATATCGAACCAAAGATAAATATATTCAAATTGATCGAGTAACATTTTTGTGATGCAAGTTTTACCGGTTGATTTTGGTCCATTCAAAATGATATTATGAATATCGTTTAATTTTAAAAAATGTGACAATTTTCTTATCTGTCGATGGCGGCAAAGAAATTTCGTTTCAACATTGGCAACAATATTGTTGGTTGACATTTTTTTATTTTTAATTTTCAATCAGAATAAAACAAAAACGCGGCAAACAAAGTCAAACACGTTTTTTGGCCTCAAAAAAAAAAACATTGGCCACTCACACATATTTTATGGATGGATCAAATCACAATATGATTTTGGGTGTTGATGGATTATTTTTCTTTGAAAAAAAATTGATTTTATTTTTATTTATATTTTTTTTCCATAATCATCATGATTGCCTAAATTCTCTTTTTCGATTTTACGGGTTACAGACACACACACACACACAACCAAGCAAACTAGCCTTCATATTTTTGTTACCATTTTTTTTTTTTTGCATTGTGATTCATAACATTTTTTTATTTTAAAAAAAATGCATCAAGCTTCAAAACCACAGATTGTTCCACGAACATCTTTGTTGAAGAAAAAAAATTCTACTGAAAATTCTTTGGAACCAAAAAATAGTGATAAAATAATGACCAAACCAGCTTTACCGGTAAAACCAATGATCGCTACAAAGCCTTCTTTATCATCATCGATTCAACCAATTCAAAATGATTCGGCAATTTCTTCACTTCAAAATCAATCGACAGATAGTTCAATGACAAATCTGTCAAATCATCATCATCATCATCATCATAATCATACAGATAACTTACCAGATAAAACAAAAATATCGATGAAAAAAGTCGATGAAATTGCCCAAACATCATCACTGTCATCGACGATAAATAAATCACCATGGAAAAAATCGAATCGTATAAAATTTCGTCTGACTAGTACCGATTTAAATCGATTAAGATTACGAAAAGATTTTGATGATAAAAATATCGATTCCAAAGGAAACAATCTAATCTATGATATTCGTGAAGATGAAGAACAAATTAAAAAGATGAATGAAATATGTGAACTTTTAGTGGCCGGTGGTTATTTTCGTGCCCGTATTAAAGGATTACATAATTTCGATAAGGTTTGGTTTCACATTTTGATCGTTAATTAAAATTAATTTTGAAATAAATTCTTTAGATTATCGGTGGAATGTGTTGGGCAATTCAAATGTGCAATATCGATTTAGATGTAGATATATTTTATCAGGAAAATCTTTCCATTGGCCAGAAAATGTATGTGTTTCCTTTTCTCTCATTGATTTTCTTATTAATAAATGAATGAATGATTCTTTTGGCAGTTCGTTGACTGAAAAAATTGTCGGTGTACTTCAAAAGATGAAGTGTCCATTTAAGTTGGAACCACATCAAATACAAGGAATGGATTGTATCCATATTTATCCAGGTAATATCTCATAAAGTTCGTATATCGATATCAACTAATTAAATCCGAAATATAGCTATTCAATGGCTTGTAAAGAAATCACTTGAAACACGTCAACAAATGGCTGATTATGTTCGTTTATATTCTTGCTGGCAATTTGATCGTACATTTACTCATAACAACAATGATGATCAACAAAAATGTCCATCATTAGCTGTGATAATCAATGATCATAATGAATTGATTGATCCAATCAAATCTAATATACAAAGACGTTTTTTACATCCCAATCGAAATAAGCTAAAAGATGAATTGATTCGTGTAAAAACAACATTATTGGAATACGGTGTCATATGTAGTGGTACCGGTTTGGATGAACGAATTGTTTCACATTCAGATCTGACCAATGATGTAATTGAATCCACTAATGATGGCATAATAACCACCAAACAACAACAACAACAACCTGAATCTGATTGTAAAAATCTTTTGGAATCAATGACCAAAACTGATGATAGTAGAATGGGAAATACACAAAAAGTTTCAACATCGATTGTTGTCAAAATTGTTGGTGAACAATCGGATGAGATTAAACGCTTGGCAGAAGATTATGAAAGAAAGAAAACATTAATGAGTGCCGAGGATGCTGAATTTCTAAAAGAAGAATCGAAATTAAAAATGGAGATTTTGGCCAAAAGAAAAGAGCTCAATCAATTATTGCAGAATAAAAATGAAGAAAAATTAACGTCTATAAAGGTATAATTGTTCATTTATTCATTCTATAAGAATTTTTTTCAAATTTATTTTCAAAATCAGGAAAAACTAAAAATACTCAATAAGAAAAGTGAAGAATTACAAGAATTAGAAAAGACTGAACAAAATGATGAAACAACAACAAAATCGGAAAAAATTCATCTGACTGAATTGTTGAATGTATTACGAAAACAAAAATCTGAATTAAAACAACACTGTCGTGAAGAGAAACAACGTTTAGAAAGACAAATTGAATCAATTGAATCTCGTCAAGTTACCACTGATCAATTGAATGATAAACTAAAAGAAATTGATCAAGAATTACATGTTTACGATGAACGTCATTCAAATGTTAAAAAAGATTTATCATTAATCAATAAAAAATATTCTATAATACAAAGAAAATTTGATGACGTTCCTAATCGAACTGAATTGGCACAATATCAAAAACGTTTTCTGGAACTTTATAATCAATGTATGTCTCTTTTTTTATGTGAACAAGATTATTTCATTCTCATAAAAAAAAAATTTTCTATTCGACCCACAGTATCAACAAAACATAATGAAACAAAAAAATTCTACACACTCTACAATACACTATCGGATGAACGAATGTATCTGGAAAAAGAATTTAATCTAATCAATTCCATATTGGAAAATTTTCAAAAGTATGTTGTTTTGTTTTTTTTTGTATTTCTATCATCTGACTGACCGGTTTTTTTTTCTTCATTCATTAACACAAAAAACAAAAAGAGCATCGATATCAAATTTAATGGTAAAACATGAATTTTTGGTCAAATTTCAACAAACAGTCGATTCAATTATTGATAATAAATTAAAAGTAGTACAACGGTTACAGAATGAAAAAGAAAAACGTAATCAACTTAATGTCCAATATCAGCGATTAATTGAAGAACAAAGGCTTTATTATATTGCTGTTAAAGCTTTCAAAGAGGTAAATTATATTATATTTTATTAATTTTCCTAAAAAAAATTTCATTTTAACAATTTTTTTTTGTTCACCCCACCAAAACCAAAACAAAAACAAAAACAACAACAATAGGAATGTAAAATAAACGAACAATTAATTGTAAAATTGGACAAGATTAACAAAAAATGAAATTATTAAATAAATAAAATTGTTTAAAAACTTGTTTCTTCTTCGGTGGTTTCCATGAGTTTTTCACCATCTTCAAGACGTTCACGTTGTTCACGTGCAAATGATAAGAAAATTTGTTCAAGATTTGTTTGACTTACAGAATAATCTTCTAATTTAAGTGTTTCTTTGTTCTTTTCAATCACAACGAATATTTCACTACAACGTATCACATAATCATCTTGATTCTGGATTACATATTCTATTTGATTATTATGTATAGCTTTCAATTGGCTTGTTGGAAATGTTTGCGATATAAATGATTTGATTTTTTCAATTTTTTTCTCCAATTCATTCAATGATTGACGACGTAAACTTGATACATAAAGTTTATCTTGCATTACTTTCAATGTAAGATTATAGCTATTACCATATTTATTTTTCAAATGTAATGGACTACCAATACATTTAATTTGGCCATTCACCATGATTATCAATCGATTACATAAGGCTTCACATTCTTCCATTGAATGTGATGTTAATACGATAGAAATGTTTTGTTTAAGTTTTCGGCCAATTGCTTCCCAAAGACATCTTCGTGCAACTGGATCAACACCAGATGTTGGTTCATCCAAAAATGAAACGGCTGGATTTCCCAATAAAGCCTAAGTTAATTACAATAATGAAGAAGTTAATTAATAATAATTAGCTAACAAAAATGTGGATTATACATACGATTGCTGTACTCAATTTTCGTTTATTACCACCACTATATGTTTTTGTCAATTTATTTAAATGCATTTCGAAATATAATAACCTACTTAATTCGGTGATTTGTTCGGCAATATCACATTCATTGATTCCTCTTAACCGTGAATAGAATCGAAGTGTTTCTTGGCCGGTTAAATCATCTAATAATGCATCAAATTGTGGACAATATCCAATTCTTCCTAATGTTTTATATGGTTCTTTTTTCACATTGAAACTATTAATGAAAATATCACCAGATGTAATTGTTTCATCACCAGTTATCATTTTGAATGTTGTTGTTTTTCCAGCACCATTTACACCCAATAAACCAAAACATTCACCTTTACTTACACAATAGGAGATATTATTAACGGCGGCAAATTTTCCATATTGTTTTTTGAGATTATTGATGACCAATGAATATTTAGGATATTCGCCAGTAGAAACAATTTTATCGACAAATGATTTTTCAGCTTGTACATCTTCATCTAATCCAGAATTTGTTGTTCGCAATGATTTGTTGTTGTTTGAAAATTTTCTACTCATTAATTTAATAAAATTTTTCAATGATTCTATCGTATTCACTTCAATAGTGAACAATATAAGCCAATAGATTATAGCACTACCAATCACATATATTAGGCTCAATCCAATTCCTGGTTCATTTAATGAGAGATAATTTTCTTCAAAATTCAAACAAACTTCATGGCAATAATCTGTAAAAGAGAAACCAAGACAAAACAAAACAAAAAATTAGCAAAGACAATCATATTAAAAAAAATAGAATTTTACCTTTACAACATGGTCGAATTGCTTCAAGTCGATCATCTATGTGTGGTAGTTTGAAATATTTACATAAATCTTGAATAGACATTCCATTATATTCTAAATGGCAAATCTTATTATTTCGATAATTCGTCTGAAGATTACCGGTAATTTTGCTTATATCAAATAACGGTATCAATAGATGAAACAATGGTTTCAATATATGATTAACATTCAATAAATCAAATTCTTTGATTGCTGTTAATTGATCGGCAATCATTGATGTTATGCCACTTAATATAAGTACTAGACTTAATCTCGCATAAGCTGTGGCCGGAATAGTGAAGAAAAATGATGCTGAATAAACAAATGGAAGTAATGCAAATCCACATAGACTGTAGCCAATAAATATGTAAAGGCTTTGTTCATCTTCATGAAGATTTTCCACTTTGAATGCCTGAAGTGTAATGATTATCGTCAATATCGACAATAGATAAAGTATGTAATCTAAAACCAAAAATGATAGCCAATAGAATGCCATACGAAGACCGGATATTTTTTGTAAATGTTTAGCTTTGACAACTCTTTCCTCGACGATTAATATGGCGAAACTGCTCAGGAAAAATGATAAGCCCATAATGATTGATTGTATAACTTGAAAATCTCCTTGTACGGATATTGGTGTTTTAATTTTATTGAATTTTTCCGCAATAGTCAATGGCATCGGATAATTTGATACGGATAATTGTAGATTTTTTCTGCCAAACAAATGTCGTATTAGAGCTTGATCAACATATTTCAATGATATCGATGGTGTATGATATGGTTGATCGTTGAACATGGCAACCACTTTTAATTCAAATCTAGAATCATTTGCATATTGAAATAATGCCGATGTAACATATTCATAATTATAAACAAAATTATTGACCGATACAATTTCATTCGCAACAATCGATTCATTCACATTAGGAATGGCTGAGAAAAAAAAACGATAATAAAAATTCAATCAAAAAACCAATAATTTTCACTTACCAATAATTCTATCACTACGGATTTCATGTTTCAATACATCTTCATAATCTTTGGCCAACGAAAGTGAAAGATTATCATTATGGACAAAATATTTCACCAATGGATTGTGGAATTGATTCAGACTCATTGTTAATTTTCTAAATGCAGCCAATTGCGGTATTGTTCGCATCATTAATAATGTTGAGATTAGAATTAAAATCGGTAGAATAAATTGTGTTATCGTCAATACTGGATTTCGATATGAATAAAGTATTCGTTTGATTAATAATGCACGGAATTGTTGTGCAATCAGTTTTGATCCAGAATTTTTTACTTTTGTTACATATTTGTTGTTGTCGCTATATTTGTCAACATTAACAGAGAAAGAATTTTCACCATTTTTATTGAATGTTAATGATTCAGTTTTCTGTTGATTATGGCTTCCAACTCTGAATATATTTATCGAAAAAAAAATCAAATCAAATTGAATTAACCAATAATCAATTGAATACAATCTTACTTTAGAAAAACTTCTTCCATGGTTGTAATCGAAATTCCATAATTGACAATCTGATCAACAAGATCGGTTTCAATACATCGTAATAATGGTCCAAAATTTGAAATCTGTTCACTTGGTAATGAATATGTTATTTCAATGCCAACAGAACTTTCAATCTTTGCATCTTTCACATGATCATAGACAATTTTTGTAATCGAATCCGTATCAATATTAGCGGTTTTTTTCTCCATTCGTAAATGATAACCAGCACCAAAATGTCGTTTCAGAAATAATGAAGATCCATAACAACGTAAACTACCAGAATCCATGATGGCAATTCGATCACCAAGAATCTTTATTATCAAGAAAAAAAATTGAAAATTTTCATATTTTGCATGATAATAATACATACATCAGCTTCTTCCATAAAATGTGTGGAAATAATGATAACTCTGCCCAATTTTTCCTGTAACAATAGATCCCAAATAAAACGCCGAGCCGATACATCCATACCGGATGTTGGTTCATCAAGAATAACAATTTTCGATCCACCAATCAATGCAATTCCAACCTTTCAAGATAAAAAAAAATGATCAATTGATTAATCAAAACAACAAACAAACATACCGATAATTTTCTTTTCATTCCACCAGATAGATTACATGCTTGAACTTTAAATTTATCTTTTAAATCCAATTTTTTTACCATCGTTTTAACTTCATGTCGAATTTCTTTATCCGTTAGATCAGTATGTTTTAAACGGCAATAAAAATCCAAATGTTCTTCCGTTGTCATTTCATCGAATAATAGATTCGATTGTGGACAAATACCAAGACTGGAACGTATTCGATTCATATCGGTTCGAACATCATAACCATTTACGATTGCTGTACCATTAGTCGGTGGAAATAGACCACAAAGCAGCGATATGGTTGTTGTTTTTCCTATGGGTTTTTTGCATATTTGAAATTGATTTTTAAAAAAATTAAAAATTAATCAGCAATTACCTGCTCCATTATGTCCCAATAATGCTGTAATTTGATTTTCGAAAACATTAAAACTTAAATTTCTAACCGAATACGTTTTGCCATTATCATATGTTTTGCAAAGATTACGAATACTAATGCCAACTTTAAGATTTCTTGGATATGCTTCGATTGTATCCGTATCAATATTACCATTTTCAATGCTTTTACTACGAACAATAACAACATCATCATCATCATTTTCGTCATCACCACCATCATTATGATTTTTGGATGGAAACCAATAATTTTTTGTAAATGGAAAATACCATGGTAATGGTACACCATATTCACCAGGAAATGCTAATGTCATATACCAAGTGATCACTAAATATATGAATGAATTGACCACGAACATAATCAATATAACTAAAAATGTTAACGAATCATTCGGTATTGCCGGATCGGCTATATTATCCCATGTGATTGGAATGCCACGTGTTTCACGTATCAACATAATGAAAACACCTAAAGACATGTCTGTATTAGGCATAAAACAATTGATAATTTTTGCCAATAATGTATAGTTACTAGAGAATGGAAAAAAAGAATTAAATCAAAAAAAATTTCAAATCAACAACAAAACCAAAACACTCACTTGTATTGTTGTATCATCGGATAATATGGTAAATACGTTAGAAACGAAACGATTCCGGTGACAATTCCAGCAATATTAGCCTAGAGAGAAAGAAGAAAATTTCCGGAAATTAAAATTTCATCAAATCACAAATCATCAATGGATTTTTTACCTTTGAAAAAAATGTGCTCAACATAAAAGAAAAACAGATGTTACAAGTTTGATAGAGAAAAAAATAAACAAACAATATGGTTGAATCCGTGATCAATATCGGTGGACTATTGGTGGCGAAACGAATTTTCAAAAATACAATAATCAAAATGATTGCCGGTATCATGATTATGGTGGCTTTAATAAAATGTGCAATAAAATGATATTTTTCTTTCAGGCCCATCATTTTCATTGATTCTTTCATACGTTTTTCTTTTTCATTTACAATCGTTTTTGTTAAATTAATGGCAGAAAAATAGAAACTAAACATAAAGATTGTTGGAAAAAGAAAATTCAAACTAAATAAGAATAAATCATCAATATATTTTGGATATGGAAATCGTTGTCCTTTTAATTCGATTTCAAGTAAATCATTTATGGCTTCGGTATCATTAGCGAATAAAGTTTTAGCAATGGCCATTGATAGCAAATGTTGAATAAATAGAAAACCTTCATCTTCATAGCCAGGCATACCACCATTTGTTTGATTTTTTTCTCTTGGACCACTAGGCATAACATTTTTCATTACCATTTGTGTTTTCCAATCATTAATTTCCATTCGATTTTGTTTAATAGTTCGAGGTATATTACTGAAACGTAATGTAAATTCAATATTTGATTTGGTTAATTGATCGAATTCAATACCACATAGAACAAAATCTTTTTCCACTAAATAATGATCAATCATTTCGGATGAATCATTGAATCCTTTGATCTCTGGTGAACACGGCATCTTAAGATTGAACACTGAATCGGAACATTGTTTTTTTAAATCATTGACTAGATTTTTCATAATCTCATCATTTTGGTTCGTTTTCGGTGTATAGTAGATCATAAAGTTGGAATTTAATTCCAATATTTTTGGTATTTCTAATAAATCAAATTCATCATAGATTTTTGGTTGCGGATATTCGGTGACAGCAACTTTTGTACGAATAATGGCCACCAATAGGACTAGAATACAAGGTACGATTAATTCTAAAAATGTTGCCAGTCGATGTCGTAATTGAATCTTGAAATTTTTTCTCAATAATAGCCATATATCAAGACAGGCATCATTTAATGCCGATCGTTGATGATTGGACATTTTTTTTTTTTTTGGTTTTGGTTTTGGTTTTTATTTTTCTTTTCAGGCCAATAAAATGATGGTCAAATTTTTAATCTTTGATTGAAAAAAAAACACAAACAAAACAAGAAAATTAAATTAATTTTTAGCTGGAAAACAAACACAAATACACACACACACACACAAACACAAACAACATCAAATCATCAATGATCAATAAATGATTGCAATCAAATATGGATGGATTTTTTTTGATCTTGTTTTACCGTATTGTAGCCATAATTGATCACGATGATGATGATGATGATGGTGGTGGTTGCTATCCAATCAACAACAACGACAATTATTTGGTGATGGTGTTTTCATAACATTTTTTAAAATTTTTTTTTTTATCAATCAAATAGGATTTGTATACTTGTCGTAATAGCTGTAATTTTTAAAATATAAAAACTAAATATCTACCAACAATCGACGACTCATACTTTGCTCTTTTTGCAAAAAACAAACAAACAAATTCTTTTGGCCAGAATCAAAACAATGATGATGATATCATGTTGTTATATTATTTAAGCGCGCGCATAATTTTCACTGTTGTTGTTGTTGTTGTTGGAAACTATTCTCTCATGTTACTTACCCACACACACACACACACACTATGTTTTGTATACGAAATTCTGAAATTCCCGAAGAATTTTCTTTTCCATTTCTACTATTTCAACATTTCAAATTTTTTACTATTTATAATCATATTTTTTTTTTGTTCTTGGATTTTGCTCAATTTTTTATTTGATTAAAACATTAAAGAAATTATTATTATTATTATTGTGATGATGATAATTCAATTAAATTCAATGTCAAAAACTCAATTTCTATGGTTACGACCGAAATCTGTTGGTGATGTATATATTATATATGTGATTTTAAGGTTCAAATTTTAATATACGATAATCACCATCAATGATTGGTTCAAATGTGACAAATTCATTTTCTTGTTCCCTTTCTATGGTAACATTATCATCATTGTGATTATTATCATGGAAAATTGTTATTGTTTTTTCTATACCGCATCGATTATTGTGGCAACCACCAAATGGGCAATTTTCAATTGGATCAGGTACACCAAAACGACGACAACGATATATAACATTGTGATTACAATCATCACCAATAAGTTGATGTCCACAAAATAATTGATTTCGATGAAATCGAATTCCTTTACATGTACATTTCATATTTTTCATGCAATTGTTTCCTGATATTTATGTGTAAGATAAATTGTAGATTAATTAATAAAAAAGATTTAATCAATATAAAAGAATTATACTTGAATGGAGATTATGATTGCAATCAACGTTTGTTGTCATCATATGTATTTCATCATCATTATGAGTACGTGGACAAGCACCAATTTTAGCTGCCATTATTACTGTTGATTTGGTGGTTGTTGTTTCATTTGAACTTTGAGTACATAAATAAAGTTTACTATGATCACAATTGATCAATTGATTACCACAGAATAACAATGATGATGATGATGATGATGATTGCCGTTTATTATTATGTCGTCGTTGACATCTACAATGATTATCATCATCATCATCATTTTGTACAAAATTTAACAAATTTATTATGACAAAGATGATAACAATGACGATGATGATGATGATGATGATGATAAGACAAACGGATTTGATAATTTTTTCATCGAAACAAATTCTTGGATCGACAAAAAAACCGAAACTGGTAAAAAAAAGTAAAGTCAAGACAAAAATGTTGGCTTTATCATTGATTATCATCTAATCATCGAGCATTTCATGGACACCATCACACAACAGTGAATTGAATGAACCGAAAATCAATGATGCATGCATGTTGCTGCTGCCTTTGCTCTACCTGTAAGTTAGTCATACTGTAAAGTTTTTTTTTATTGAATAATTTCATTTTGAATTTTTTTTTCTTTTTCATTGAAAATTAAAATTTTTCAATTTAGCGTCAAAATATAATTAATTAATAAACAATAGACAAACACACACACAAACTTGACCTAAATCATTGATTTTTTTTCACACATATTGTTCTTGTATACAAAAATAAAATTGATCAATAACAATCGATCAATTTATAATTTGATTGATTGATAATTATGATTCACTCATCACACATTGGCTGTGTGGATAATAAGCAGCGTTTATTTGTCTGGATTGTCCAATTGGCAGTCATCAATCATCATTCGTATTTATTAACATGGTTGATAAAATGACTTGGTGTGCAAAAAAAGAAAATTGACCGACAAATTGTATACCTTGGTAATCGACATTTTTTTTCTGTTTACGAAATTTTTTTTTTTGCATTCAGAATTTTAAATTTTGCAATCAACATCACACACACAGGAGATAAAAATCATATGATCCCGGATATTATATTGTATATATACACTAAATCCTGTCGATTATTTATACAATGACATGATCAGAAAATATCAGAAAAAAAAATGAATCATCATCCAATGTAATTTCCAATTGATATTTCCAACCAAGTTACCTGTTGCTATTAGTATTTATTTCTGAATTTTTCTTTTTTTTTTTTTAAATGTAAAGTAAATCTATCCGGTGGTATGGTTGAACATCGACATCGACCGGAAATGTGAGGAAATCATAATCATTTCTATGTGTGTGTGCTATACATATGTCTAAATCTAAGGAAAAAAAATGACAACAATGAAAATTCAAGGCCAATGGTCTTATGGTATGTATGTGACAACATAGAAATCACAATGTTTTTTTTTTTAGAAAAGATTGCAACAAATCAAAATGTTGAGACATTTTTTTTTCGTTTTTTGGTTTTCATAAACAACTTACCTTTTTGTTTTTTTTGGTGGAAAGAGAAAATGTTACAAATTAAGGCAAAAAAAAAAACCACAAACAAGAAAGCTATTGTTTCTATAATACGTTGCATGGGTTTTTTTTCTCGACTTTATTCAAACAAACTATATATCCGTTCAATTTTTCGATTCATGAGTTTTTTTTTCTTTATTGTAAAAGTTGTTTTATTGTCACTTGATGGTTGCACCAACGAATCTAACACACACACATCAAATGTTACAACGTACAAACGTGAAATTTTTTTTTTTTAAATCATGTAACTAGTGTTTGTTGATTTGACGAAATTCCAGCAAAACATTGAAAACAGAATCAACATCAAATCATTTGAAAATCATCATTTGAAATTCCATTTTTGAATAGAAAAAAAATGATGAAATTGAAACAATTTTTCATCATCAATTTTTTATTACTAACAATAAATGTCGTAATAGGCGATACTATCGATGTTTCAACATCAATATCATCGATTGTTAATTCAACAATGTTAAATAATAATAATAGTTATGTGCCAGTTAAAGAAAATGGAAATTCAACAACGATCAACAATGAATCATCATCATCATCATCATCATTGACGAATGTTACCACCGATAGTAATGCAAATGTATACAATGGTATCGTTATTGATAATAAAGATCCACTTGAAGTGAATGCTCAACAACAGAATCCATTTTTGGCTAATCGAATGAGTGGAGGTGGTGGTGGTGGTATCAATCCACAAATAGCAATGATATTACGGAATAATCCACGTTTACAATTACTTGCACAACAGAATCCGGTTATGGCACAGCAAATAATGAGAAATCCACAGTTATTACGTGATCCAATTATTCAAAGTAATTTATTTTTTTTGCTGGCTGAATTCTCATTATTGAAATTTTCATCAATTTATAGGAGCTATTCAATCACAATTATCACCAGGACAGCAACAAGGTTTACTAGGACAAATTGGCCAACTTGGATTGAATGGTCTGAATGGTCTTGGACGTGCTCTTAATCCACTTGGTTTGAATCCATTGAATCCAATGAACAACAATAATAATAATAATAATAACAACCGCAACAATATCAATCGGATGAATCAGATGAACAATCGGAATCAACAAAATTTTGGATTGCCACAACAGCGACATCCACAGAATTTTGGTCAAGGTATGATTATTTGTTTGTTTGATGATTTTTATTGAAAATTTATCCATTCTATTCATAATACAGTCAATCCAAACCATCAAGATAGGCTCAATGGAGGTTATTACGGTGGTAATGATAATTATGCAAATCAAACACCAGCACCAGAAACAGAAAATGAAATTGATGATGGATCATCACATGGTGATGAAGATAGTGAAAATCATGTTGATCCTGGACAACAAGATTATGGTGGTGGTGGTGGTGGTGGTGATGACAATGGTGCCGGTGCTGGTGATGATTCACAACAAAATCCAGCTGATGATCCAGATATACAACAATTACAAAATTTTGGTGGTCCTCTCAATGATAATTTTCCTGAAGGACTATTTCCACCTGGTCTATTATCTAAAGAAGATATAGCTGAAATTCGTCGTCAACAAGAAAAACAACAACAGGAAGAAATGGAACGTGAACGTCGTAGACAACGGCAACCGAATCATCAATCAACAAGTCCAGATTATGATAATTCAGGTTCTGGTGAAAATGAAAATGGTGATGGTAGTGAACATCAAGATGCTGAATATCCTGAAGGTGCTGGTGATGGTGAACAACAACAACATAATGATCATGATGGTGAAAATAGTAGTAGTAATGAAAATCATCATGATGATGATCAATCACATAATAATAATGATGTTAATGGTGGCCATATAATCGATACAACACCATTACCACCTGCATATAAAAATGCTTATCAACCAATACAGCCACAATATCGTAATCATCCACATCGTAATCATATGCAACCTATTAATGAATATCACAGTGTTCCCGGTCAACATAATCATCATTCGAAAAATCAATTCAATCAACAACAACCACCAAATGGTAATTTGATTTAATTAATGAAAATTTTTTTTACTAATTATCAAATAATATTAATATATAGTTGAATATGATCCAAATCATGGCCAATATCATCATGGTCATCCTCATCATCATCATAATTATAATCATCAACATCCAATGGGTTATTCTGCAACCACTTTTGCACCACCAATAACAACATCAAATCCAGGTGTTCATTATGATGAAACAGATGATTTTAATGATTCAAATATGTTGAATAGAGGTGGTGGTAGTGGTGGTGGCTATCATAATCGACAACCATTTAATGGTGGTTATTATCGAAATCAACCAAATATCCATAATAATCAAAAACCATTGATTTCTAGATCAAAAACATTACAACAACAATGGCCAGGATCACAACAACAATATCCATTATCAACATTGAATAATAATGATGATGAATTACGACGATCATCATTATTACAGAATGATGATGATGATGCAACGAATCCGGATAATATGCCAATGAGATCACCAGGTTTATATTCAAATTTTATGAATAATCGTCGTAATAATCAATATCGACCAGATAGAATGATGGATAGAAATCGTGGATTGATATCGCAACCACGTGGATTCTGATTAGTTGCTAAATTTGTTCATATTTTTTTACATAATCATTTTTATTCACTTTATTGCCGTCCATCCACCGAAACCAATCAAATATTGATGCCAATTAGGCTTGTAATTTATTTATCACATTATTTCGCGCTTGAAAAATGTAATAAAATTCAAATTCATATTTTGATTTTAATTGGCTTGATGAGTGAAAATAGAAACGAATTAAATGTGTATATATCTGTTACAAACACATGTTTGTGTTTATGTGTAACAAGATTGTTGATTCATTTGGTTTTATCAATTTCAGATTTATTTATGATAAATTTATCCAAACAATGACACAGAATATCATTTTTCCAAATTATCATCTACAAAGTGATTGGCAAGATGCATCGTATGTTATGATTTTAATCGTTTTTAGTATATATTTGATTTAAATCTAAATTTTCTTTTTTGTCGATAGAATCAATGAAAAAATTTGGCTACAATCTACCAATATCATCAAGGATCATCATCATGATGATAATGTCAATAAAACGTATAATTTAAAAATTATCAATGAATCAAATATCACTATCGATGGTAATAATAATGATAAGGATTTTAAAATCGAAGATTATTCCCAAAGATGTCTAGCTATACATGATTCGAAATCAAATGTTACACATAGATTTATACCACCGGTTCGAATTTTCAAATCTATTCATCAGAAATCTATCATAGCATTGGATGTAGCACCAACCGGAATAGCTGTATCATCATCCACTGATGGTACAATGAAAATATGGGATACTTGTAAAAATATACAAAAATGTGAATTAAAAGGTCATTATTCTGATGTTAATCGATGTAGATTTTTTCCATCGAATGAAGTTATACTCAGTGCTGGTTCGGATATGTTGATCAAAATTTGGTCTGCCATCGATGGTTCATGTCCTGTCACATTGAAAGGTCATACCGGTTCAATAAATGATCTGGCTATTGTTGATCGTGGACGTAATATCATTTCGGTTGGCCGTGATGGAATGGCAAAACTATGGAGTTGTGCTAAACAACTATTTATTGAAAATTTATTTGATACTGGAAATATCGCTATAAATGCCTGTGCAATTAAATCATTTCCCGATTCATTTAATCTTGGTCAACGTCAAGATACCACAAATGATGATTGTGTTGGTACAACGGATAAAATGATTTTATTGGCAACTGAATCAGGTTTCATTCATGGCGTTGGTGTGAATTCAAAACAACCACTATTCAAAGTTGAATGTACTTCGCCTGTTAATTGTATATCATTTTATGATGAATTTGATTTTTTCGCTGGAACTCATGATGGAAATATTTATCAATATGATATACGAAATATTAATCAACCAAAAATCAAATGGATGATATCAAAATCGCCAGTACTTTCAATGATATCTGTACGAAGACCATTCAATGGTATTGTTGCTAGCCATCAGGATGGATCAGTCGATTTTCATTATGATAATCATAGTCAAATAGTACATCTAACTGGATCGGATTGTGATCCAATTTATCAGGTTGTATATGATGATAAATTTATTTATACATCATGTCGTGATGGTAAAGTTCGTAAATATTTTCTAAATAATGCATTCGAATGACAGAAAAAACAAACAAACAAACTTGAACACAGCTACTGTATTTGATTTTTTTTTTCTTGGTTCAAGTGGAGAAAAAAAAATTATTGCATTTCTTTTTTTGTTTTGTTTTTATTTTTTTTTTCTGTCTTACGATGTGCGGTTAATGATTTTTCAACAAAAACAATTTTTCTTTTCTGTTTACACATTCAATTTTTCCAATGTATAATGAAGGCGAATGACATTGAAAATAAAAAAAATTTTTCACATACACAAATCTCTTTATTGTCCACATTATATAAACATTTTATAATCAATATAGAGCATACAGGTTGAACATGTAAAAAGTAGCGGATTTTTTATTTATTTATTTATTTATTTCATCCTTAAAAAAATGCTAGATAGATAAAAAATCAACGTTCAACATACTAGTTGAATGACTTGATATACGCAGTGTTGAAAATGGATATATAGAAATCCAATAACGATTTTTATTTTTCCCCTATTCTTAATGTTGATTTTGCTTTATCATCAAATATATGATGATGATTTATATCTCCTCTTTCTCTCTGTGTGTGTGTGTGTGTGTGTGTGTGTTTAGTTTGAAAATCGATTATAAAGTTAGAGATAGAAAGAAATAGAGAGAGAGATAGATAGAGAGAGAGAGAGAGAGAGAAATGGTTTAGTTTAAAAATCTAAATCAATCACAATTAATTGATCCGGATGAGAAATAGTGAAAAAAAACAATGGATGGAAGAAAATCACAACAAAATATTGATGCCATTCTAAATTATTTGGGCAATATTGGTACATATCAATGGCAAATATTCATGTTATCCATATTACCAGTATTCATTGCTGGTATGTTGAGCACAACGTTTATTTTCACAACATCCATACCAGAATATAGGTTTGTTTATTATTATATATCGTTTTCTATATTATTTGTTTTATTCTTAATTCGTTTGTTTTTTTTTTGATTAAAACAAACAGATGTTTCATTGCCTATTGTGATCCGTTTGAACAACAACAACAACAACAGGAAGCATGGACAAAAAATGAATTATTTGCCAAATCATTTCTATCATTTGCAATGCCAATGAAAAATTCTATAGAATTTGATCACTGTTATTTGTATGATCACAAGAAGCAACCATCATCAATGAACGGTACCGATTGTTTACCGCAATCATTTGATAATCAAACATTGAAAACCTGTGATAATTTTGTATTTAATCATGAATATTTTCATTCAACAATTGTTACTGAATATCAACTTTATTGTCATAATGAATGGATCGTACAGGTGATGCAATCATTATTCTTTTTCGGTGTATTGGTCGGTGCCATCGTTAATGGGATATTGGCAGATAAGTATGCTCAAGTATCATGTCCAAGTATTATTATTTTTTTCACATATTTCATTTCAGATTTGGAAGACGAATCATTTTTGTCATCTATAGTCCTGTTACAACTATATGCATCTTAATTGCAATATTTTCACCGAATCTTACCATTTATACATTAAGTCTGTTTATCAAAGGAATCTGTGTGGCAGCTATTTATCAATCATCATTTACATTGGGCATCGAATGTTTGGGTGGTAAATGGCGATTTTGGCTCGGTAATTCATATAGTGTTATATTTGCCACTGGTGCTATTTATTCATGTCTATGTGCATGGTGGCTTCGTTCATGGCGTTCAATGGAATTATCGAATATTGTGCCAGCAATTTTTATGTTACCATATCCATTGTAATCTTAACATTGATCATCATGTTCAGCAAAACTAATTGGCAATTATTTTTTTTCCTCTTTTCTCATTATCTGATTATATTGTATAGAATTTTATCCGAATCAATGAGATGGCAATTTTCATCGGGAAAAATTCCACAAGCATTACGACAATTAACAATGGCAGCAAAGAAAAATAATGTCGAAATACCAGATGATTTGATTCAATCATTTTTGGTGAATGATTCGCAAAAGGTTTTCATTTATTATTAGATTCATAAATGAAATCGATAATTCATTATCATTTTTTTCAAATAGCCCACAAAAACCTGTGATCAATCAAATGATGTATCGATTAAAGATTTATTCAAACATAAATTAATACGTAAATGGACCATAACATTTCTTTATGTTTGGTTCACAAATGCATTGGTCTATTATGGATTATCATTTCTTGCATCGGACATTAATCAAAATATCTATTCATCAATGATATTGTTAATGGTTGTTGAATTTCCTGGCGTATTTGTTGCATCATATCTTGGTGATTTTACTAGAAAATATGTTTTAATGGGCATCATGATTATTGGTGGATTGTCATGTATTATTTCATCATTTCTATCAGCTGGTGATATGAAAATGTGGCTAGCCATTCTTGGCAAAATGAGCATTAGTGGATCATTTTCATTGGTTTATGTTTATGCAGCAGAAATGTTTCCCACTATACTTCGTATCACTGGTTTAGGAATGTGTTCATTTTGTGCACGTTTTGGTGCAATGACTGCTCCATATCTGCTACAATTGGTATGTCCATATATTTTAACTATTTATTCGATTTATTCGAACGATTTTTCTTCTTATTTTTTTTCGATATAGCATTTATTTGGCGATTCATTTCCATTTTTAGTTATCGGTATCATTACATTAATAGCTGGTATTGTAAGCATAATATTACCTGAAACAAAAGGAAAAAAATTACCCGATACATTGGCCGAAGTGGAACAATTAAAATATTCGAATAAACGAATCCATTTGTATGAACGTTTATCACCGAATCTATTAGAAGATGAAACGGATGATTTGTTAGCGAAATGAGTGGATGAATGAATGAATGAATGATGAATGATGAAAAATTTATTTTCTGTTTTTATTTGTTTTGAAAAAAAAAATTTATCAATGAATTTATATATTAAAAAAAACGAAATTTTCGAAATTTTTAAAAGTGAAAACAACATCTGTTTATATTATTAAATGACGAGAAAGAAAAAAATAGTTCATTTCATTCGAATTCTATGAGAATCTGTCAAGAATTTTTATAGCCAGAGAAAGCAAAACTGTAAACATGAAGTGTTTTTTTTTGGCTTCGTAACAACAAAAACAACAACGGAAAAAAATGGTCGTGCCAAATCTGATCAACAAAAAAAAAAAAGAAAGAATCCAGTTGTTTTTAAAATTCTTGAAAAATTTTTCGTCTAGTTTTTATTGAATTTAAAAATTTTTCATTCAGTCGTGCTACAACAATATTAATGTATATGTGTCAATTATTAAAAATTATGGAATCAAAATCAAGTAGTTTAAGTAGCCACACAAGTCGTGTATATGATCAACAGAAAAATATCGATGAAATTCTTTCACATCTTGGCCATGTTGGCTATTATCAGATACAGCTTTATATACTTTGTATATTGCCAATGTTTGTGGCTGGAATGTTGGCAACTTCATTCATATTTACAACGGCAATACCGGAACATAGGTAAGACATGTTGATGATGAATTTCTATAATCTAAAATCGGATTGATTGAATTAGATGTTCGATACCTATTTGTGAACGATTCAATACAAATGATGATAATCATTGGCCACATTCCAAATATGAATTATTCAATCAATCATTCGTGGTGTTTACAACACCGATGAAAAAATTGAATCAACATTATGATGATTGTCATATATTTGAACAACGGAATATCAATATTAATAAATCACCGAATTCAACAATCGAATGTAATGAAGATATGTTCGATAATCAAACAATAAAATCATGTGAACATTATGTATTCAATCATCGATATTTTCAATCAACAATTGTCACTGAATTTCAGCTTTATTGTCGACCAGAATTTGTTCAATTAATACAATCGGTTTATTTTTTCGGCGTATTGATTGGAACCATTTTGAATGGAATTTTAGCCGATAAGTAATGCTATTTGCGTTCGATTTATTCATTTGTCATTAAACAATTTTCTGTTGTTTTTCTTCGTAGATATGGCCGCCAAACAATAATAAGAATTTATAGCCCATCAACAGTGTTGGTCTTTTTGTTCTCAATCTTCTCGACAAATGTCTATTTTTATGCATTCTGTCTATTTCTTAAAGGAATGTGTTCAGCAGCTTTGTTTGAAACATCATTTACACTTAGTCTAGAATGTTTAGGTGGTAAATGGCGATTTTGGCTTGGCAATTCATCGAATGCAATATTTACTTTGGGAAGTATTTATGCTTGTCTTTGTGCATGGTGGTTACGTACATGGAAATTGATTGAAATTTCTGGTCTAATTCCGGCAATGTTTCTATTACCATATCCATTGTAAGTTGTAAAATTCATTAATGAATGATGTTAGTGAAATTCAAATTTTTTTTTTGTTGTTGTTGTTGTTGTTGTTGTTCACCGATTAGCATATTACCAGAATCATTACGTTGGGAATTTACCGTTGGTAAACCATCACATGCATTATATCATATTGATAAAGCTGCACGAAAAAATGGTGTGAAAATAGCCAATGAAACGATTGAGTCATTTTTGGTTCAAACTAAAAGAGTAATTATCATTATCATTATTAAGATTAATTTGATTATATCAATCATCAACAAATTAATTACCATTTCTATTATTGTATAGCTAACAAAATCGGATAAACCAAAAGTTTCAATCAAAGATCTATTCACAAATAAATCGATACGATTATATACGATAATTTTCCTTTATATTTGGTTCACAAATGCATTAGGATATTATGGATTTTCATTTCTTTCGGCCGATTTAAATGAAAATATTTTCATTTCAATGACATTATTGATGATTGTCGAAGTACCAGGCGTACTATTAACATCATATGTTGGTGGATTTTCACGTAAATACGTACTGATGATTATTATGATGATGGGCGGTGGTTTTTGTGTCGTTTGTTCATTTATGGCCACCAGTGATTGGAAAATGTTTTTTGCAATTCTCGGAAAAATGAGTCTAGCCGGATCATTTTCATTGGTTTTCGTATATTCAGCTGAAATATTTCCCACTATAATTCGTATTACTGGACTTGGTGTTTGTTCATTTGCATCACGTCTTGGAGCGATGAGTGCACCACATCTTGTTGAATTGGTTTGTTGAATTCTATAATTTTTTTTTTTTTTTTTGATTAATCAAAATTAATTAATTATCTTTCGATAGCATTTATTAGGAGATTCATTACCTTTCTTGGCGATCGGTATACTGACACTTATAGCCGGTTCATTAAGCATTCTTATGCCTGAAACAAAAGATAAAAACTTACCTGATTCATTGGAAAATGCATAAAAATCTTCGAATCGAATTCTTAAATTTCAAAATTTTTTTTATACAATGAAAGTCGTTGTCTTGATGTACTTGCATCATGTTAAAAAACATTTTGTTCAAATGTTTTGGTTTTTCAGATTTTTCTTTTTTTTTATTTTTTTTTTTTTCTAAATTCATTCTGTCATTCTTCATCATTCAAATTATAAACATGTTATCATCAATGCTCAAAGAACATCAACTTAAACAGATTAAAAAACGTGAAGAAATTGAACAAAAACGAAATGTTGCCATCGCAAGTTCGGTAAAATTTACATCACAAATGGTTCATCATTTGAATGAAGGGTAATTATGAAACAAAACAATCACAAAACTAACTCAACCACCAATGATTTTTTCACTATAGTGTTGCACAAACATATCTGAATCAACGAAAATTAGACAACGAAACAAAACAACTATATACGAATATTGAACATTTTTCACGTCAAACAAATCAATGGTTAACATTGATGAATTCATTTAATGATTCATTAAAACAACTTGGTGATGTTGAAAATTGGGCTAAAGTAATCGAGAATGATATGCGTGAAATATCATCCATACTTGAATATGTTTATAAAACGCCAACAACAACAACAACGACGACGACGACGACAACAACAACGTCTACACAGCCAAATAGCAAATAGAGATGATACTTTAAAATTTTCAAATTTCAAACTTTGATTGATTTATTTAAATTCATGCAAATTATGTGTGTGTGTGTGTGTGTTATACATCAAATTTTTTTAAAAGTATAATATTTATATGAAAAAAAATTGAATAAAATTGGAAAAAAACATTCTGGGTTAAAAAAAAAAAAAAAGAATAGTATGTAGTGTGTGTACCACTCAATGGCACTGAGGATTAAGACTCAAACAAACATTTTTTTTTGTTTTGATTTTTTTCTTTGTCTTCTTTCTTCTTCTTCGTTTTTTTCTTGTTAACAAAATAAATAATTCGATGATGATTGGAAACACGAATGAAGATCATTCTTAATTAGGCAATTTTTTTATATATTCGTACTGAAGCAACATCATTGACAATTGAAGTAACTTTAACCTGTTCTGGTGAAAATTCACGAATAATATGAACATCTGGTCCTTCACCTTCTTGTTTCTGTATCCATTTGTTGCCTTTAATCTGCATGGTTGATTTTACTGTTTGTCCATCCAAACGATCTTCATCGAATGGTACACCATCTTTGAATGTAATGGCTGAATTGCCAAATGTTGACACAGTTTTCAATGTATATGAATCACCATCTTTTGTAATAAAATAACGTGATGATGCTGCCGTTGCAGCCAAACGTGTAAAATAACCGATACCCAATTCGGATAAGAATTCATCAAAATTATCGCTACTAACTAGCTCATATTCACCAACAAAATTATATTCTTTTATTGGTTCAGGATTTTTATTATTAACAGCCGGTTCACTTGACGCTGTTGATAATGTATCATTCAACAGATTGGATATTTCGGCACTAGAAATTTTTTGTTTTGGACAATTTGATTTATCATCTTTGAAAATGAGTATAAGAACAGCACATAGCAACAAAACTATAAAATAGAAAAAACAAATTAATTTAGTTCATTAAATGAAAAATACGACAACAAAAACAAAACAAAAAAAAAAAAAAAATCGAAATTTGATCACCTAGGAATATGACTGTAGTCATAGTGGATTCAAATTTCATTTTTCATGAAACCTTGACATGGTAAAAAAAAAAATTTCGATTTTTTTTTTGCTTGTTATTCGTCTATTAAGATATTATTACTTACAAGTAACAACGCCATATAAAATGAATGAAAATGTTTTGAGCTTTGATGAGGCCATTTTTTTGTGTTATATAAATAATATATAAATATATATGGATGAATTTAAATTATAATAAAATCAGCGAACAAAAAAAAAAGTTCTGAAAGATCAAATCGATGCTGTTCGAATTCAATATATTTGATGATGAGATGCAGTGAAATTTTTTTTTTTTTTCAAAATTGTTTCCACGTTATTCAGCAGCTTTTATCTATATATAGTGGAACAATTATATAAAATAAAAACAATTAATCAGAAAAAAAAATTTTGAAAAACAGGAAAAATGAATCTGAATTTGAATATTAAAAATAAAAATTTCGATTCAATAACCAAAAATAGACAGCAGCAGCAACGACAAAATTTTCAATGCACGCAAATGGCACATGTGAGTTTTTGTTGTTGTTCAAATATATAAATGTTTGATGTGATGAAGAACAAACTTCCTTTTCAGCGTGTTTTTTTTCTCCACACACACACACTCATCACCGTTTTTTGAGGTTTATAACAATAATATAAATGATGATGATGACTATTGACTATTGATCATCATCATCATCATCAAAATCAAACAGTAAATCGAACATGAACATTGACAACAACAACAACAACAACAACACTCACCCCTCAAAATATCATAACCAGAAACAAATGACGGATGTATTTTTTATTGATTTGAAAAAAAAGAAAAAAATAAATAAATGCGTTTGACACACTGATTTATATTTGGACGTTAGCAACGAAACAAAGTATAGATGATTTGATTTCAATTATGCGAATCAGATTGATGATGATCAATACTTAAAAGCGAAAAAAAACTAAACTTAATCAATCATAATCATCGACATGAATAGTAAAATTTTTTTTGTGATTAAATATCGACATTTTTTTTGTTATCTATTAATATATGGTGTTTGTATGTATGGATGTTTGTTTGTTCGCATACCGAACTGGAAAAAAAATGATCAAAAATCCTTGTCATATTTCATTACATTCTAGTTTATCATTCGAAAAAAAATTTCTTCAATGATGATAAACACATATATGGGATAGAAAAATGGACCTATCAATGATAATTGTCAACGATAATTGTCATCAATGAGAGAGAGAGAAAAGATTGTTATCATCAATTGATTTGATTGATTCAATTCAAATAATGAAAATTTCGATCGATTAATCGATGCCGGTTATAATAACCACAAGTTGGTTTTGTAAAAATATATACTTGTTGAGTGCTGACTAAACACATACAAGATGAGGTGCTTGTGAAAATCTTTATTTTCACAAAAATTAAGATTCGAATTTTTTTTGTTCAATCTCGTTTTACTCAGTTGACCTCCAGTTGATCATCATCATCATCATCATCTTTTTTAATTTCTCATCAATCTTAACCTTGAAACAAATTATATTTTTTTTTAATCACTAAAAAAAACATTTGTCCACCACAACACGAGTATTTACTAGTTTTTTTTCGTTTGTTTGTAAATGACAAAAATAGCATTGACTAATCAATACTATACGGTACTTACGTTGTGTAAGAAAATTAATGTTTTTTTCACTTTCACACTTTTAACTTTTAAACTCAATTAAAAATAAAATTCTGATGACAATAATGTCAACAGAATTACAATTGGTGATGATTGAACAAAAAAAAAATAACATGCACACACACACACACCGAATGAGAGATAGATAGTGAATGAATTAATAAAATGATGATGATAAAACAAAAAAAAAGATGAACAACAACAACAACAACAACAACAAAACATTGAATAATTCAATGAGGAAATAAACAAAATGGAAAAATTCCCATAGAATTTTTATTGATTTACTACCTTTTTGTTGTTGTTGTTGTCAAGGTTTCATTTCAAACGGTACACATTAAAATTAAGGTGGAAGCTGAAAAATTTTTTTTTTCATTCATTTTACAGAACAAATGAACATGATCTTCATCATCATCATTTCTACGACAACAACAGCAGCAGCAGCAGCAGCAGCAACACTCTAATTGCATATCAAGTATTATTGTACCCGGTTTACACATTCACAAATCACATTTATTTATCCAACAATACAAAACATTCATCAAACATGTACACACACACACACACACACGGGGAAAAACATAGATCAAATATATTCAAATGGCAAAAAAAAAAAAATCCAAACATAAATCATAGTATTAGAATCTTGATTCTAAAAATAAAAAAAAACGAAACAAAAATCACAATGCAAATTACATTCTTGTTTGTTTTTGGATTTTTTTTTTTTTTTTGATTTTGATTTTGATTGTTATTATATTTGACTATGAAAAAAACTAGATCAAATTCTTTTTATTACGTAGTGCCATAATATTAGATATGGCAAACATTGGAAGGAGAAATGAAATAAAGTCTTTTCCGTTGTATTTCGCAACACACACACACACACAGAGAAAAAAAAATCAAGGCAACAAATGAGATTATTGCTCAATTCATTCATTCATCATCATTTATAAATCATAATCGTTTGCAATTTTTTTTTCATTTCGCCGTTTATAGCTATTTACCGGATATTAATCAATATTATCACTTTGCACTAGTAGTAGTTTTGATTATTATTATTGGACAAAAGTGAAAATTTCCTGTAATTTAAAGTAGATATAATATATATATAAGGGATGTGAGTTTTTTTTTCCAACAGAATTGAAAAATATTAATGCACACATGGAATGAAAAAAAAAAAGTTCATTCACTCTCCCGCCCACACACACACACACACACACACACACATGGTCACTGTCGAATCAAATCAAAAATTTCAATAATCAATCAATGGAGTATAAAAAAAATTCATTTATAAATACCATTCGATTACAATTTCTGCATTAATGGATGATGATGATTATGATTAGTGGTTCAAATTTTTGATGGAAAAAAATTTTCAAATTTTTTCACATGAGCCAATCAAAACACTGTGTGTGTGTTTGTGTGAAATATGAAATGGTAATGAATTTTTTTTTCAAACGAATAAAAAAAACAAAATCAAAATCAAACATGGACGGTTGGTAAAACAGACAAAAGTAGAATGAACGAAAAAAATAACCAAACAAATGTTTCAATGGTGTGTTTGTATGTGAATGGCGAGCAAGTAGAAAAAAAAAATTTTCTATAATCACAAAATGTATACATTGCTGGTTTGTGTGTGTGTAATCATAATCTCTAGAAACCAGAAAAAAAAATTCGTCTGATCACACCACAAACACACACACACACACATTGAATATGCGTGTGTTGTACAAAAAAAAAAATTTTATTTTTTGCTAATGAAAAACACGTATAGTACGTGATTTTGTTTTTTTCCCCTCCTGTGATTTTTATATATGTTTTTTTATTTTTTGCTAATGAAAAACACGTATAGTACGTGATTTTGTTTTTTTCACCTCCTGTGATTTATGTTTAAAACCAAACTAAATGACAATAAATAGATCATGTTTTTTGTATTGTATTTCGTTTGTATCACAAGGAAAAAAAAAAACAAAACCATAATTATTACACATACACACACACACACACACACATTTCATTTTTGCTGAAATCAATTTACGGTTTTACCGTTTTTTTTTCTCTTGTACTTTGTATATTTCCTTTCAAAGATTTTTTTTTCAGAATTGATCTACAGGGTGTTTTGGCCATGAAATATATATATATTTATTGTATTGTAATATAATATTTCACAGCAGTGCAGTTTTTTTTTGTCAAATGAATGAAATTTAACTAGCTAATGATATATGAATTATATAGAGGTTTCGAATTATAAACTGTTGTTGTTGATGTTCATGGAAAAAAAATCATCGATTATGATGAAAAATAATTCGAGTTTTTGTTTTTTTTTTTTTTTTTTGATTGACGTAATTCATCAATTTGCCAGAAAAAAACGAACAAATTGACTGATTTTTGATTAAAGAACCACAGAATAGTATCAACAGAATCTTACCTTGTTTTTTTCATCACCATCATCATCGATCACTGGTCAAAATTAATCAATCAATCAAATGATTATCACTATAAATAAAAACAAACAGACAAACAAGATAATTTCTAAGCCATTTCAATTAAATGATTTTTATTGTCGTCGATATTTGTTCAATTTTATCATCACTACTACTAAAATTGATAAATTTTTTTTTTAATAGTTTAAAATTTGTAAAGAATATATATTTCACAGGTAAAAAAATTGGCACAAAATAAATTGTCCAGTGTGTTTGTATATCATAATGTATTGGCTTGGTTGATTGTATGAATGAAGGTGAATGAATGTCAATGACAATCAAACATGATGATGTGAATGAATAAACTGAATGAATAGATATAGACAAACTGAGGAAAAAAAAAAATTAACCACAATTTGATAATGACGATAATGATGTACACAAACACCACCAGTACCGATACATCATCGTTTTCATCTCGTTCGAATGATCAATCAATCAACAACAACAACAACAACAACAAAAACACACGTAAAATCAAATTAAAAAAAAAACATTCAAAAACTAATTAGGTTTTCTTTTCTCAAATATATAAATTTTTTTTTGTCGAAGGTCAAGGTTTTGTTTCTTCTTCTTTTTTTACATTTTTTTTTGATTTTATCACCTGTTGAACACGATTCAAAAAAAAAAAAATTTTTTTCTATTTAGAAATTATTATGCACATAAAAAAAAAACAACAACAACAACAAAGTTATTCAACACTGACTGATGATGATCATGTGCGAAACATGCATCGATATAAATGAATGAAAATGAAACATTTTCAATGATGAAAAATGAAAATGAATTTACACTATGAATTTAAAGTGAAAAAATAATAAAAACATTGTTTTCTCTGTTTCACACACACACACACACAAAATACAAAATGCACGTGCAATTTTTTGTGAGAATATGTTACACGGAATAAATAAAAAATTGGAACGTTTTCAAAAAAAAAAAAAAAAAACATTTTGTTGTGCATCATCAATGATACGATAATCAAATGGGACAAAATCTGAAATTATTTTACTATTGGCTGAGTTTCTACATTTCAAGGTTGTCGTTGTTGTTGTTGTTGTTGTTGTTGTTTTGCCACCAAAAATGGAAAAAAAATGAGACAAACAAACGAAAAGATAAAGATAAAAAAAAATTCAATAAACGATCAAAAAATAAAACACGACAAAATTGACACAGTATCAGTATACTATCTCTCTTTTTTTTCTGAATTTTTTTTCCATCTCTTCATATGTTTTTTTTTCTCGCAAACACAAATCTCGAAAAGCCAAATTTTTCTCGAAATCCAAAATGAGAAGAAACACACACACACACATAAACACACACAGGTAAATTGGATAAATAAACAAAAAAAAAACAAGATTTTTTTTTCTGTGGCTGTTCTGCACATATCACATGTCATTCATTCTATATCTAGCTAATAATAATAAAAAAATGTCTAAATAAATTTAGAAGAAAAAAAAAATTGGCGATTAAAATGTGTCACACACACACACACACAGCACAGAAACTGAATTGACAATAGTTGAACATGTCGAATGAAAATGTTTGGCCACAAAAAAAAATGAAAATTTTTTTCCATTTCAATTTCACAAATCGATAAATAATAATTTTTCTTTTCTCTGTGCAATGAATACAACAACAACAACAAAAAAAAATTGGCCAAATGTTTGTTTGTTTATTTTGGAACATGGAAAAAAAACAACATTCACAGGCTCAAAATAGTGCTAATCAATCAAAATCAAAAACGAATGAATGAATGAATGAATTAAGGCAATCATAATCGCAATAATAATACGTAATAACGAAATTATATCGATTACATTCTTTGAACGTAATTTAGTAGTAATGTGATCATTACTTATTTATTTTTTTCCCCAGTTATAAAATTCATTTCATTCCATTTCGTTGTGTGTATGAGTGTGTTCAAGGTGAAAAAAAACACATGATGATCATTTCTGGTGTCAAGCCATAAATGTCCAACGTGTATTAACAAATAATAATAATAAAAAATTTATTATGTATACAAATACAAAAAAATTATGATCAAAACAGCAAAAATCAATAAACCCTGGAAACAAAACAAAAAAAAAAAAAAAATTGGCTAACAACGTACAATAAAATAAATGAATGATCAATGATCAATCATTTGATAAATGAATGATTACCCCTTTTTTTCAACATGAACATTTTTTTTCACATCATTACAAGGCTAATCAATAAACGACGATGTACAATTCATCACATCAATATAAGTGATAATTGAAAGTGACCGTCATCGATGATGGTCATAATCATAGACATTTGACAGTAAATAAAAAAAAAATTGATGAACAATCAAATAAAATACAATGACGTTTTATAATATCTACACGCCATGGCAACAGATTGAAATGAAACCTAAAGAGAGAGACGATATCAAGAACTTCGAAAGACGACTTAACAACAACAACAACAAAAAAAAGATGTGCAAAACAAATGGATATTTGAATAAGTGAATTCTTAAATACACACACACACACACACACAAACACAGACATTAATCAAAGATTTTGCCCTGGTGCAATAATGATTACAAAGAATAATCACTGATGATGATGTTGTTGTTGTTGTTGTTGTTGATGCTGTCAAGGTTTTTGGTTCAACAGGTTTCTTTCTTGTTTTTTTTTCGTGGAAAAAATACGCGACACACACACACATATCATATACAAAAGGACATAGTAGTTATATTGAATTGAATGCAATAAACGAAAAGAAAAAAAAATTGAAATTTTGAAACAAACAAACAAAACATCGACGACTACGACGATGATGATGATGATGATGATGACGACGACGACGAGGCAATCACCGATGGAATTTGTATAAAAATACTACCTTATCATCGAATAGATTGATTTGAAAAGAAGGAAAACAAAATCCTGTTCAAGATTCACGAAAAAATTTTTCATTTTCCATTTCATTTCATTTCAATTTTTGATTGTGAATACATCCAGCGAGTATTTCAAACAACAACGAAGAAAAAAAAACAGAATATAAACTTTGTGAAAATGAATTTTCGAGGTTTGTTTTCGAGATTTTAAATTTTTTTTTGTTTTCAATTGAAATCAATTTAATTTTTCACCACTTCTTATCGATACATAAACAGTTTTAACCATCTTTATGGTCATTGGTTTAATTTTAATCTCACAAATTGATGCACAAAGAAAAAAAAGCTCAAGAAAAGGAAAAAAAGATCCATGCCATTTGAAAGAGATTGATGTTTGCATTGGTAAAGTACAAGCATTGGGCAAAAGAAAAGAACCAAGTGTTTTGATTGCATCCAATGATGGATTGAATACAATTTGCAAGTAAATAATTTTGATGATGATAACAATTAACAATTTTTTGAAAATTCATGTCATTTTTCAACTTTCAATACCAAAAATTTTTTTTATCTATAGAGCCATTAAACAAGATTTATCCAAATGTGTCAAGAATTTCATCAAAAGATGTGGCACACCATTACATAAAGAGGTTTCGGATTTGATTGTCGATCAGATTGATAATTCAATTTCACGATTCTGTGATCCAAATAATCCACAACGTCATAGTAAGTTTGATTGTGTTGGTTTTTTTTTGTTTCACTTACGTTTACATTTACGATGATGATGATGATGATGATGAATTTTTTTTTACTTTTCATTCAAATTCTACCAAAAAAAAAAAAAACAGAATTCTTGAAAGAATCACCATGTATACATAAAAAAGTATTCAGCACAGAAATTTATAAACAAACTTGTAATAATAATTTCTTGGCCACTGTGGATAAAATCGATTCAGAAGAACATTTGGAAGCTGATCGTACACATACAACAATATGTTGTGGTTATAATAAATGGGATGAATGTTCGAAAAAATTGATCACCAAAGAATGTGGTAAAGATGCATTTGATATTTATGCTGATTTTGTTGGCGAAGCATTCGGTACATTAACAAAAATGATTTGTCCAGCAAAATTTTTTGCTGTAAAAAAAAGTAGCTGCAAAGATGTTTTACCAAAAGATGGTGTTAAAGCTAAAGGAAAACTTGGTGACAATGCATTGACCAAATATGTTGTATCATTGTTTTCATTTTTATTCATTTTTGATGAATAAAAATTCACACAAACACACAAAACAATAATATAATGACCCTTATAATTGACATATAATAATAATAATAATAAACAAGCTGCGCGCACACCCACACACAGGCACACAACTAAATTGTTTTGTTCACAAAGAATCTCAATGAAAATGATGCTGCTGTTGCTGCTGCTGCTCTATAATGAACATCAATGATCAATGTTGCTGTTTTGAACACAATACGATTCTTGTGTATGTGTGTTCGATATATATTTTGTAACGTTCATTTGTAAATATCATCAAATCAAATAAAATTTTTTATTTTTTAAAATTTTAATTTAATTTTAATCACAAATAATTTATATCACACACACACACGTGTGTGTGTGTGAATAATAATAATAATAAAAGTTAAAAATGATAAATCTTTAAACAAAAAAAAAAGAAGAAGTGGTCAAAAATAAAGATACAAAAAAAAACGAATCTAGTAATTAAAAACAAATGATGATGATGATGATGACGATGATGATGCGGTAGAAAAATTATTCAATCAAATAAACATCATCTCTATTGATTCGTTCATTAAAATGAATACCAGTTTTAGTGAAAATATGTTTATAAATAACCTGTATGGCTGAATTGATTGAATTTCGTGGTCCAAATAATTGAAAAAAATTACAAATATTAAATTTCGGTGTCTCAATGTAAATGTTGTGCATTGTTTGTAAATCTTTTACAAACCAACCATTACGTCCAACAACCAGGCCAATATATTTATCCGGTATAAACAAACGGATACAGGCAGCATCTTTTTGTGTGGATAAAAGAAAAAAAATTATTTATTTATTGATTGATTGATAAAAAAATCAATAAAATCACCATATACCATTTAAATTAATCTTTTGTAATATTTTTGTATTTCTTTCCTCTTTAATATTGGCAAAATGGCTATCGGCTTTAATGATTTCTTGTTTAACGGCCAATACTTTATCTTTATTGCCACTAATAATAAATACTGGTTCTTCATTAGCCGTTGGTGTATGAATATAACAGTCATATTTTGCACGTAAATGTTTAATTTTACAACCTTGAAATGATAGGAAAAAATTTCAATTTTACACAAACAAAAAAAAAAAATAAAAAATAAACTAACCATTTTTACCGACAATTTGTGCCACATGTCCAGAATTTTCAACTGAAACTGTTTCACAATATGTTTTTCGTCTTTTATCCGATGATTGTTGTTGTTGTTGTTCACCATTTATGATCGATGATGATGATGAATTTATTATGGAATTTACACCATAACTAATAACACTATTTGAATCGGAATATAATCCATCTTGAAATTCACTTGGTGATGTTGTTGTTATCGATGTTGGTGATGTGGCTATTGTACCAATGCTATTTAAATCAAAATTATTACACAACAGCGACGTTAATGATGATGATGATGCTGTTTCTGATTTGAATGATAATGTATCAAAAGCATTTTGTGGCCATAAACATCGTAAATTTTTTGCCATGTCCATGGTGTTAATTTTTTTTGTTTTTTTAATATTAATGATGATAATAATAATCAAATAAAAAAGATGAAAATCGTGATTTGTACGGTAAAAACGATTGAAATGAAATTTTTTCTTTTGCCCAATTGAAAATCAATCGTTTTTATATATCATCATCATCATGAAATTTAATTTCATTGATCACTGATGATGATCACTGATCACTGATCATGATCATTTGTTCATTCATTGTCAAATGTTCAACGGTCGGTTGTGACTTTTTGTTTTCAAACTTGAATAATCATCAACAATATCAGAGTACAAAAAAAAACATTTCGAAATAATTTAATTTGAGAAATTAGGAAAAAAACAATTGCAATCAATAATCAATAATCAATAATTTAGATATAAAAACAAACTAAAAAAACAAATGAACAAACAAACGAAAAAACAATTCAGATATATTTAAAACATTTTTGTTTATCATGTGAAACACGTGTCTTGAATAGAACAGAATCGGCACGAAATTGTGTATACAGTAATGGCATATAACCATATATTGAAATGAAATAATTAATACATTTATGACGTTTAAGAAAATGTTCCGATTGATTTTCCGATAATCCGGTTTGGCAAGCTGGACATCTATAAATTATTTTTTTTAATAAAGAAAAATACCAAAGGATTAATTTGGCAATTATTTTGAACAAAATTCATATTACCTAAATGTCCATTTAGATGTTACTTTGATTGGTGGTTTACGAGTTACATGTGATACAAGAAAATTCATTGCTATATCTTCACAATTCATAAATTCATCCACTTTATCTCGTATTGATGATGGCATTGAATATGAATATAGATAGGAATAATACTGAAATTGAAATGTAATGAAAATTATTTTTTTAAAAAAATCATCATCATCACTATTAGAATGTTATAATAATTACTTTATGAAAAAAAGCAGCTCCAGTTAAAATCATTGAATATTCACAAGTATAGCTAGAATTATAGAACCATGATTTTTGATTCGAATCCCATGCATGAAAACGTGCAGGAAAACCAACAATACGATCTCTTGCTTCACGCCAAACACTGTTTGAGAAAAAAAAATTTTAAATTCAAATTTTTGTAAAAAATTAAGCTTGTAAAAAAAATTTACCGAAAAGCAAAGATAATTTCATCATGTCGTAGATTAGTATCATCATCAATCGAAAGAATGGCTTCAGTTTTGATTTCATCAAATGGTATGAAACGATTATTCAATGAATTATGTTCACTTTTAATGACAACAATATCGACACCAATATCTGGCCATATTATATCTTCAGATGGTGGCTGTGGACTATTCCATACGATCACAACCTTATTTAGATATGGTAAATTCTATGTATATAACAATAAAACATATTATTAATAATGTTTTGAAAGATTTTTCTAATACCAACTTTTAAATGTGAAAGAACAAGCAATAAAACATTTTCACGTTCATAAGTCAAAATGACGATTGTAAATTGTTCTCTAATTTGATTGCCACCCAATGATTCGGAGAATTCTTTACCAGAGCCACCAAGTCCAGCACCGATTGGTCGAAATCCATATGATGAACCAATGAATTTTGATTCGGAAGGTAAAACAGGATCAAATGGCAGTGAAGGAAATGTATGAAATGGTGTAAGACTAACGTCATTCCAAATAGAATATAATTGATTCATAGTTATTGAATAATTACGACGATAACTAATCGATGCAAATGGTGGTTCGATTGGTCCAAGAAATTCATCACCATCTGATAGATCATTATCGTAAAGAAGTGGATTTGTCAATAATAAATCACTTGAATTAGTTAAAATATCGTATTTAGGTTGATTATAATAATAAGTTGAACGATAACTAGGTGGTGATGATGGAGGTATTTGTAAACGAAAGGTCCCAAAATAAGCAAAAAATGTAGCTATAAATTGATCTAAATTGGAAAAATATGTACGATAAAAATGTATTCCATATCTTCTTAGCTCGATAATGTCAGCATCCGTATAGGTTTTCAATAGGACATATAATTCGGTTATACGAGCAATAGGTAAACGAATTGTAGCTTTACGCCAATCAATAACATCTTCAAATGGAAGTGATACAATATCATTTGATATGATTATAGGAATCGAACCTATTGTGAAAAAAAGATGTTTTAAATTCCATTATTTTTCATCATAATACAAATTCATACCTGTAGATAGAGCATTAAATAATCGTAGATAGAAATCATGATTTCGATGAATATTATGATGATTATTGATAATGATAGGTATCAAAGTAAATGTAGATTCAAGTAAAATGATTGTCTGATTATCACAAAGTTTTTTGGTTTTTTCATCACAATCAAAATCGAATAGAAACTCATTATGATTCACAACACTATGTTTGGTTGAAAGATTTATCATCGTATTTTTGATGATTAATTGAAGATTGTCGTCGTATGAATTATTATTATTATTATGGTCAGAATTGTCATCCGATATACGTCCAAGGAATGTGAGGAAATATTTTCGTTTAGCAGGTGATAATTGTGGTGAAAAATTTTTCCATTCAAATTTAAACTATAAAAATGGATAATATTTACATCTGGTATGACTAAATCAAACGAATGACGAAGACTAGATGAATCGAATTGATTTTGAACTAGTATAGCTTTTTTCACATTTAAACCGATTGAATTTAAATCGATTTTTGAATTTAGATTGAAAATAATATGATTACGGCCATCACCTATGTAGAGAAAAAATTATAATAAAATTCGATCGTAATTACAAAAAAAAAAAAAAATTCATACCAGCCCAATATGGTAGAGTGTCCAGATAATTTTGAAATGAAATTCGATCATTTAAATGTGGAAAATTTTCGGAAATAATTAATAGATAAATACATGCTATTCGAGGATCATTCGTTACATGAATGTTTGATCGGAATTTATCATAAATGATTCGATAAATTGATGAAACATGATAATTATGATTATCATAAATAAATACATAGAATGATGAGAATAATGAACAACGTGAAAAATCAAAACAATTGTTCATATGGCAATCATCATGATTATAATGGCGAGTGATGGTAGTTTTTTCTGGAAAAAAAATTATTAAAAAGTTAACATGGATCTTAATAATAATTTATATTTATATCCATTTACCATTTTCGATTGAAATTTTTTCCTGCGCTTGTTTGGGCAATAAATTCAATGGCGGTTCAATCATTGATCCGACCAAAACTTTGGCTTCTTTTTGAGCAACAACAGCTTGTTTAATATGCATTTGAATACGTTCCAATTCGGAGGATTTTTTTCCAATTGTTGATTTTAATTTTTCTAATTCATTATTATGTTCAGTTAGCTCTTGAATGATTGATGTACGATTACGTTCTAAACTTCGTAATTCTTTTAAAACGGATGAACGTATACGTAGTAATTCATGAACACGAATATTTAAATCTATGAATTTACAAATGTGAATATAAAAAAATATAAACAGTGTCAAAAAAAAAATGTTAATCTAAATTGAATATTTACCATTAATTTTATTCAAATTTTTAATAGAATTATCATCGATTAATAATTCATATTTTGGTTCATTATTTTGAATAATGGATGGATTGATCGTCGTAGTATTGAATGAAATTAGATAGAATGTACTAAGATTGAATGCTAATAAACACATTATAAATAGAAAAACTAGAAAAAATAATCGTCGTAAAGTTAAACAATGTTGACAATTCATTTTCGATTATTTTTTTTTTTTTGTTCGAAAACAAAATTGTAACATGTAACATTGAATATAAAGAAAATGAAGAAGGAATAAAAACGAAAAAAGTTCAATTCAAGACATTGATAGATATTCAAGATTTAGGAATCATTTTGTTAAAGTTAAATCAATATTGACAATTCTGACATCGATCCAAATAAAAAAAAACATTCTCAATTCTGTTCGATTCTTGAAATGTTTTTTTTTGATACCGTCCAAAAAGGACGAATCATTTTCTTTTTTTTTGTTTGAATTTTGATAATCACATCCCAAGAATTGATAAAATTTTAAATTTTAATAAATTCATATCATAAAATAAATTTTGAATTTGAATAAAACAAACAATTTTTGCATAACAATCACCGTTTTTGTGGATTTTTTTTTTGATTTGTTAAGATTACGATTGCAAAGAATGAAATATATTAATTAGATAAATTAAAATATGTGGAGAATGTGTGTGTGGTTGGTTTGTTATAGTTGCGTTTATATTTCGGTGGAATTGCTTTGTGAATCATTAAATAAATCATCAATAACGGAAAAATAACGTGTTTTAATTGAACTACGTTTAAGTTTCATTGCTGCTGTAAGCATTTCATTATCAGGTGTCCATTCATCCGATACAATTTGAATTTTTGTAGGTATTTCTACTTTTTTCAATCCATTTTCAATACCAGTTTCACGTACTGATTTCAATAGAATTTCAGACATACGATTTGTTGATCGTGCTTCATTTGGAATGCGATGTGTTTGTGCTAGATGAACCAATTTTTCTTCATTAGGTACCACTAATGCAACAAGATAGTTGGCCAATGCATTACCAAATACACAGATGTGATCGATATAATTACAATTTTTCAATGTTGTTTCAATCTTGCCCAACGATACATATTCACCATTGGCCATTTTAACCAGATCTTTTTTACGATCAACTATTTTGAATGTACCATCAGGATAAACTTCAGCTATATCACCACTCCGTACCCAATTAATGTTTAATTTTTCATCCTTAACGAGCAATTCATTGGTTGCATCCGGTTTATTAAGATATCCAAGACAATTCGCTTTACTACCAACTAAAAGTTCGCCACGTGGATTAGGTAGATCACTGGTTCGATAACCACCTTCATTCCAATCATCAAGTTTAGCATAAACACCCAACATTGGTGCACCAGTACAGCCATAAGTAAGATCATCGTTATCCATACAGAAACATGCACCACATGTTTCTGTCATTCCATAGCCTTGTACGAGCGTCGTATCCAATGCTGCTTTAATCACTGATTGTAGAGTGGATGATAATGGTGCACCACCAACAATTATCTTATCTAAACGTCCACCAAATTGTTCACGAATTTTTTTACAAAATATTCTATTAATAAGAGGTGTTGCAAAACCTATCAAAGGGCAATAATTGAATTTTTTTTATGAAAAAACCATTTAAAACAAACATACCTTTTTGGGTCCAAATAATTTTATATTTCATTAAATAATTAAATAATGGAATGAAAATCGAGGAACGTGATTCAAGTTTATTATAGATCTGTTTCTGTATTCGTTGTAAAACTAATGGCACAGAAATCATAAATGTCGGACGAAGTAGAACTAAATCGGATTTAGTATTGGGAGCAAGACCGGGTGATGATTCGGTCAATGTGAATGGACTGGCAAAACCAATTGGTATACCAAGACCGAATATAAGAAATTCACAAGTGGATTCGAAAATATGTGCTTGTGGTAAATATGCCACGTAAATATTTTTTAGACCATTACCAATATATTCTGAAAGTGATGGTAACATTTGATGGCAAACTTGAATCATTTGATTCGATGTTAATTGTACACCTTTCGGTACACCGGTACTGCCTGAAGTGAAAACTGTATGCAAACAGACATGACAATTATTGGCTAAAGTTACTGACATCGATTAATACTTACCAATAAAAGCAACTTGATCCTTATCCAATGGTTTACAAATCGCTACATCATCATCATTACATGATTGGCCATCCTGTTCGATTTTTGTTAATGGGACAAAAATTGATTGATTTATCGGTTCGATAAAATCTTTTTCCTTTGCAATAATTTCATCAGAAACAGTTTCCGCTCTTCGTTCAATGTAGATAATTTTTGATACATCCAATTTGTATTTTTGAATGACTGAACGAATTTTCGGCAATAGATCCCATGATGTAAAAATAAATTTTGAATTTGTTTCTTTGATTGCATGTGCAATACCGGATTCACCAAGTGTAGGAAATACATTCACTTGAACAAAACCGGCACGTGCTATTGCAAATTCCATCATTAGATATTCGGCACAAGTTTCACATAGAATTGCTATTGGTTCATTACGTTTAATACCGGCGGAAAGTAATCCTTTGGCAATATGATTTTTTCGTTCAAATAATTGTTCATATGATAACCAATTATAATCGGATAATTCACGTTTTTTAATAATTTTTCCATCAATTTTCAATGGTGTTATACCATCCGATCCATAAACAACATATTCACGCAATACACGACGATAACCAACAGCTTTATTCTGTAATGACATATATTTTTCCAAATTGTTGCACAATTCATCAATAGTTTCGACAATATCGACAACACTTCCACGATATTGTTGACGATCCAGAACACCAAACCATGGTGATTTGGGATCATTTTCATTCAATTGTTTTGCACGAATTCGTTGTGATTTTTTCAGAACATTTTCTGGTTTTTGTCGTAGAATATAAATCGGTAATGTAATGTATGTATAAATGGTGACCAAAATATCAAATATGATGAGGAATAAATTATTAAACCATTGATCCATCATATTTGTTTTGATCATAAACGTATCCGATAGGAATTCGATAATCATTGTTTGGACGTTGTTGGTCAAAGTTGTTGTATGCAGAGTGACGATGTTTAATTTCTCGATATGTGTTGGATTTAATCTGAAAAAAGAGAATTTTTATTTATACTTATTATATTACGATTTACCAAATTATTTAAATGAGAAAAATTATCATTCGCATCATAAAAAAAAATTTCAACGGGAAAAATTTTTTTCAATGGAAAAAAAAAAAAAAAATTATGATCCACGAAACACAATTCGCGAATGATGATGAAATGACCACGTACTCCTATTTCACTATATGACGAGAAAAGCTTACATAACCAGAAAAGAAAAAAACTTACTAGAAAAAAAAGAATTCTTTTGAACTGATGAACAATTTCCTTAGAATAATTGAATTTATATAATCTCTTTATATATCAAGTACAAAATGATAACAAATGACATAATTTATTATGAAGGTATCAATGTTGTGGAGATTGTGAATTTTTTTTTTATTTTCAAAAAAAAGAAATTCTTCCCTCAATCAAAAAAAAAAAAAATTTCTGTCAAACACTTGATTGATTTTAAAATTTAAAATAGATAAATATTTACAAAAAAAAATAAATCATCAATTATTATCAGTGAATGAATGAATTACAGCAACAACTACTACATACCACGATGTTATAATGGAAAGATGAACATATTTGGAAAAAAAAATTCAGAATGAAAATGATCATGAGAAAAAAAAACCACCACAGCATTGATTTAAATAGCTTCCTATATTTTATGATGATGATGATGATGATGATGATAGTGGCGGTGCTGATAAATGAAATGTAGTTGTCGTCAACCAAAAAAAAAAAAAAAAAGATTTGTTGATTTTATTTTGATGAAAAATCTATCTACCTGAAGATATAATAAGGACAGTTGAAGTTAGAAAATTCTGGAAAATAAAAATTATTATATGAGAAAAGAAAGTTTCCGCTAAACCAGTTGTAAATCATCTGCTCATCTGCTCACCCTCGGTCGTGAGGGTGAAAAAAAAAAAATTCCAACTCACACAATTTAAATTTGAGCCCAGTACAATGATCATTCATAAAAGACGTATGCGTAAATTTGTTTCCCTTTTCCCGTTTCAGGCAACAACGTGTGTGCACATTTGAGTTTTGTGTTTTGCATTTTTTTTCTGGGTGTCAATAATTTTCTTTCGTATTCGTGTCAAATTCTTGGAATTTATAATGGCCAAGTCAAAGAATCATACCAATCATAATCAAAGTAAGTATTTATCAAACGTTTTAATTAAATTAAATGTTTAAATAATTCTAAATGTCTAAATCATGCAAAATGTTTTGTCCAATCAACATAGACCGTAAAGACCATCGAAATGGTATTCATCGACCAAAAAAGATGCGTAAACAATCGATGAAAGGAGTAAGTTTTTTTTCCAACAATTTGAATAAATTAATACAATCTCATTAATGGTGGCCATTTAAATGAATTTAGGTGGATCAAAAATTGTTACGTAACATGCGTTTCTCACGGAAACACAACAAAAGCCGTGAAGAATTATTACAATTGGAAGCTCAATTACGTCAAGCCAAGAAATAGACAATTATTTGTATGATGAATGATGATTTGTATTGTTTTCTTTTGGTATATAATCATCAACAATTTGATGCTAATAAATAAAAATTGAATTGAAAAGCAATTTGTCTTTGTATTTATTTTACATTCTATGTAGCTATGCATAGATCATATAATAGCGATCAATAAGGAAAGAATAGACAAATGTCATGTGATGTGATTTTTTTAAAAGAAAGTTTCCGGCAAAAGTGATGATCATCATCACCTTATTATTTTATGAATGAGATCGTTATCATCATCATCATTCGAAAATAATCAGCTTATTCTGCAAAGAAAAATTAAAAAAAAACTAAACTTTTGTAATGCGAGTGTTTTGCTAAGCCAAAAAATATGTAGCCATGTGCAGTGGCAAGAAAAAAAAAATCAAACAAAGAGCGTGTGCCGTAGATTGACGTAACCGTGATCACGCCACTTGGTCATGATTTGTTGGCGCATTGTTAATCGATGATCGTGCCATTACTGACTTTGTTTGTCTGGGTAGTATATAAATCATTGTGTCCTTTTTAAAATGATTTTTTTCTTCATTCTGTGTCAGTCTAATGCAAAGCCGGTTGCTTGGTTTATTTTTGCTTACACATGCATTGAATGTTGCTTCTGTCTGGCCTGGCTTATTGGAGAAAAGACGCGCGCGAATACTATAACCGTTATATCATTTAAATCGAATCGATCGATTGATAACCAAAAACAAAAAAAAAACAAACCAGTAGCAACGACATTCATTATTATCGTGATTGCAACCAAGATAGCAATCATTGTGAAATATCTTCTAGTCCCGGCATAAACTTACCAATCCTATCATCATTTCATCATCGAATGATCAGTATAATGATGGCAATGTTAGTATTACTGTTTATGGTCATGACACCATTCTTGACCATAATTCAAGCCATTCCTCATAAACTGCCATCAACCACCATGAATGAATCTTTCGCGTCAACATATCAATTAAAAGATGGTGAAGTCATTACAAAATTGGTTTGGGCCAATTATTCGGCCATCGAAACTCGATATCTTCATATTGACTTGATTCAGGTAAGTGTTCATTAACTCTGGCCAATAGATTGGTGTTTAATTTTTTTTTTGTTGACGATATACCAATAGATGACTCGTAATAAATATGAAATAATTCAATTCTGGTTAACCGATGGTCAACTTATCGATTGCGAATATACCAATGACAGCAAAACTATCGAAAAATTTCATGAACAATTTCACAAAATTAATCCGAATATTAGAAAGGATACAAAATCTTTCAAAATGCTTGAGTAAGTTGATGCACGACCGAATCATGATTGTTCCATATAATAAATCATTTCTTTTATGTAGACAATATAATAATTTAACCGAAATCACATTACCTGAACATCTGAAACGATTGACTGATTATGAACGCTATGAACGTCAATGTCGACAATTACATCAAAAAGTTCAACAACATTATCAATCTAAAATGGGAAACGATATCAAAAATGATGACACTTTAGCCCGATCACGAAGACGAACGGTAAGTGTGATTACCATCGAAGTATATTAAAAGAATTTAATTACCATTATAATTGTAGAGAACAAAACGAGATTCTTTATTATTTCCCGGTACTAAATGGTGTGGAAAAGGTTCCAATGGTAAAGCTTTCGAAGATCTAGGTGATTATTCATTTGCTGATCGTTGTTGTCGGTATGTGTTAAAAAAAAATTATGTTGTTATGGATCACATTTATGAAATTTTTTCTTGTACTTATAGTGATCACGATCGATGTAAATATTCAATTGGTCCATTCGAAAATCAATATCATTTATTCAATTACAGGTGACTAGTTTTTATTTCTTGAATCAATAAATTAAATCAATGTTTTTTTCACCGTCACACACACACAGATTCCACTATGTTTCACATTGTTCATGCGATGAAAGGTAAATCATATTATATCTGTAATGGACATTTCATGTAAATGGCCAATCTGTATTTGACATGTCTGTTTCTAACAAATCACTTTTACTGATTCCCCCCACACACACACACATCCACAAACAAATTTATAGATTTCGATCATGCCTAAAAGTGGCCAACTCTGGCGCTGCTAATTTGGTTGGTAAAATTTATTTCAACGTTGTCAAGACCAAGTGTTTTATGTTCAAAATGGATGACATGTGCATCGATCGTACATGGTGGGGTAATTGCATCGAAACGAAAAGAAGAAAACGTGCCATTTTCCGTGAACCAATGGAATATTAGACTGGCCATAAATTGAACAAAAACCAACGAAAAAATAAATTCGCTGTCGTAAACATTTGCTAAAATGATTCATTTGTCTATAATTTATTCATTGTTGATTTTATAATAAAAATGATTTGCTTTTATTATTTGATGATGATGGTGATGACGATAATTATGTACAGTTAGGAATTCATTCCATTATATTTACATGTTCTGGTATTTAAGAGGTGGGTTTTTTTTCTAAATGGGTGTGTTTGGACTAGCTAGACAATGTATTGGATGGAAAACGTTCATGTTGGGAATGGTTTAGACTTGTGTTATCATCTTCATCGCTATTATGGTTCATATCAGTATCCATGTTTCGTAGTACCATAATGTTAGGCAATGCATTACGACGTCGACGCCATTGACCAAGGCATTGACTTTGTGTTCTTAGTTGTTCAAGCCATTCTCGCATTTCGGATTGTGTTTCAGCCTGTATTCGGACCGAAGAGAAGATAGGTTCATTGGCCAATAAATGGATATGGTTATGAAACATACCTTTAACAGTAGCGATTCACGTGATTCGAGCTCGTGTATCTCGAAATATCCTTCATTATCGAAATCGGTCGCTTTTGCTATCACACACATGGCTAGATTGAGAGCATCCTGCATGAAAATCAAATAAGGTTAATTGAATATAGTCAAATAAGGTTTACATCATCATTATACTCACTCGACACAGCGTGTATCGACCATTTTTCTCTTTGAACAAGATTAACATGGCTTCACGATCGCTGTTCGTTTTTGATTTGCTCGGACATTGTTGGCTTAAACTTAAAGAGTTGGAACCACTAACACGCATTGGACTCTTTGAACTGGATCTTCGTCGGGCAGTCGAATTAAATCTAAGTGAATCATTGCCATCAAAACAATCTCCATTTGAATGATTAATGGCCACATCCAACAATGTTTGATTGATTGATGTTTCCACGTTTAACGTTTCCGGTTCTGAACCGGGATTAGGACTGGATCTTACGATAAGCACTGCATGAGCGGTCGAAAATTTCAATGTTCGAGACCAGATTTTCGATGATGATGTTGATGAATTGGACAGGGAATTATGCACAGTAGCGTGTGGTGAACTGCAGCCATTGATGATTGTCAAACCAGTATTGCATGATGCATTTAGCTGTTCAGAATTTGCAGCTGTTCCGGATCGTTCCACAATAAATGATAATCGACCAATCAATACAAAACGACTTTCGTCTTGAGGCCACTTAAGTAGCTCCAATGAAGTCTTGATAATCAAATGTAAACAAAAAACAATCAGCAATCAACAAGAACAACATAGTAAAGGGAGTGTTTACCTTTTTAAGTTTAACATGACCAAAATCTTCTATCACATTGTGATTGGCATCATTACTTCGAATACGCATCGATGTTGATGAAAGGTTCGAAATGCGGCGCCATATTCGTGATGTAGTGGCGGCTATTGAACCTTTAGTCTTTTGATTGATGTTGTCCAAATGAATTTCAAATTTCATCTGTGTCTCACGTAATGAATCACAATCAGCGTAATGGCATGGAGTTACTTTCACCAATCGATTTAACAGCAATGGATATCTAATAGAATAATTCGATAAGAAACTAAATAAAGTTCATACATATTGGTGCTTACTTGGTAACTCGTTGAACTGGTACCACTAAGAATGACCTTAGGTTCATGCGACGTAACAAAGCATTTTCCATTTGTGAAACTCGAAGAAAAATTCGCAACAATTCTTTTTCTTTTTCCAATTGGTTCAACAACAATGAAGCGGATGCCTGTCGGATACAATACCGTTCAAACACAGCGATCTTGTCAAGCAGACATTCATTAAACAGATGACCAATGTTAACTGTGGTCAGATCCTGTTGGTACGAATCAATCATTAGTGATGGTAGTGAAAAACTTAATGACATGAACTTTACCTCGTCACCTTGTTCGATGGCAACATCGACAGCATCTTGTAGTATTTGTGCCAATTGGCAATTCAAATCAATCAATTCGTCCAGATTCAGAAAAATATCATCCACTTGTTGCTGTGTAAGCAAGCCAGCCACGCTGATCGGTTTCGCGAATTCCTCCAATATTATCCTCAGATCACGACCATATTTAAGCTCTGTGTCGACAATTTCGGAAATAATCTCTTTACGTTCATTACGTCGTTTTTGACAAGTATTACAGACATAGCTGAAAGTGTGGTAATAATGCGGTGCTGATCCATTTGAATTGGTCATTGGCGAACGGTTGGTTCCCGTCTCTGACGGTCGCTCACAATCCAGGCAAATTCGATGATCCTTTTTGTCATCATCCACACCAGGAGCCGTATCATAGATTGTTTTGGTGGCTGTCGTACGGCAGCCGATTTCATGGCCGACACCAGAATCATTACGTTCTACAGTCGGTCCGATACGATTAGCAACCACGTAATAACCGGATGAATTGGCACTAGAACCAAGACTTGAGCTACTTGTAGTAATTCCATCATCATCCATGTCATCCATTGCAAGATTAGAGACTGATACACCAGAAGTAGCTGATGATTCACTGGATGAATTGCTGATGTTACTCACACGATTTCTTCTTGCCGATGATGACCCAACCACCGGAGACAAATCGGGATTAATGGACGATTTTTTCTTAATGAAATAAACCAGACTTTCTTGGTAGTCATCGGCCATACAAAGCGAACTGTTGCCAGAATCATCATTGCCCAGATATCCGGATTCGATATCCTCAGCAGTTATCTGATTGTTGGTTGATGTTGATGAGCCAATATGGTCGCTATCAAAATCAAGTTTATTATTGTCGTCAACATCAAAACGTTGACGAGCACCATTCAGATAGTCTAAAATTTCATCACGAGTACCCATAAACAATCGTTTTGTTTTGTTATCATTTTTGGCTATAGATGCATTGTTGATTGCTTTAGAATCGATGTAACAATAGTCCAGTTCCTCGTAGATATGATCATCGACTTCAGACTTGCGATTGACTGAACGTTCGCTACGACAATTCCCTTGATCTTCGGATTTTATGATCGGATTAGATTCTGTTATTTCGGTCAAGTCATCATCATCTCGAGATGTAGACGTTTCAAATAAAGATGAACATCCCGAATCTGTACTTTTCATCGAACTAGTTATACTTTTTGGATCATCATTCTGTGAATCGCTCAGGCTATCGTCATGTTGATTAGTAGACAAATTCGAAAAATTCAATCGTCGTCCTATGATCAAGAATAATCAATAAATATGATAAGTCAAATAATTCAGCTCACCTAGTGAATGATTTGGCGATCGTTTGATTGTTGCTGCCGTACTGTTGGAAAAATTCCATTTTTTAGCTAACAATGATCGTACGCTACCAGTTGAATGAAATTTCGGACTATTCATTATTGTTGAAAGCTTAGCAGGAGTCGATTTTCCATTGCCATCATCATTTGACTGTTGATAACGGCGAGCTGGTACTGGTGGTGGTGAAGGTGAATTAGTTTCCGGCAATGATGAATGGTTATTCTCTTTTCCAGCCAATAATAGCGATTCGTTTCCAGTTTCATCAATAATATCTTCATCTTGATTCTGGATTGATGAAGATGAATCCAATGGTTCAGTACATCCTATGACAAACAAAACACAAAAAAAAATCAGACAATTGGCTACAGAATAAAAAAAAATTTTGATCAAGTGAAAGTATCTCACTAATCAAAAATCAAATATTAATTCAATTTTGTCGTGAAACAAAACAAAACCAAAAAAAAAGTTACCAACATTGTCCAACACTACACGAATGAAAACAAATAGCAATTGAATTACCAATATAAATTAGGACATTTTATTTGGACATGGGAATATGAATCGACAACAACCAACTACTAACAAACTAAATCTGATTGCTTGAAATAAAACAAAACAAAAAAAAAAAAAACTGACAAATCTTGAATCATATATATAGTTAGGTCACGTATTTTGACAAAAGCTTTTGGGCGTTAAATGATGATTGGTAAGCATAAAATAGACAGAAACATAAAAACCATTGGTCGATCGATAATGGTGATGGTATGGGCGGTTAAAGAAAAAAAAAAACTTTTCTCATCGACCAAAAATCAAAAATACCATTTTCGCTTTTTCCAATTGACAATTTTGCTTTTCATTTGATCCACTGGTAGTATACAATTATGTGTGCAAACCGTTTGTAAAAGATTCATTCACACGATCAACAATTCAATGTGATCACACCACCCGTGATGATCTTATATTTTGACAAAAAAAAATAAATAACAGATACTGTGTCATTGGAATGGTAAGCACATTAAAAGGGGTGACATATTTGTAATAACGTAATTTTAAAATACGAAACTGAAGAAAAACCGCACTTTTTTTCTCATGTTTACATCATCAGACTGAGTAGCGATTTTCTATTATTTTTCTCAATGTGTTGTTTTTTTCGTAAAAAAAAACAACAACAAGTTAGGGCGTCGGTCCGTGAAGAAAACGGTCACAACAACAGATGATTCGTGTATTTCAATTGTTGTTGCCAAACATACACACACATACAAACACGACCGACCGTCGTAGTTTCGATTCGACAATCATATCGTTTTGTTTGACTGTCATGAATAGCCATTGTCAAACAGGAAATATACATTCAAGACAAGCCTTTATCATCATCATCATCATCAACATTTCCGTACGTTAAAATGATAAGTGTCACGATCCAAAGGTGTGTGTGTGTGTATGTAAAATATTTGACGAAAGAATGTTGGTTATACACATTGAATAAATATCGTGACTTTCAAACCAAACACAAAAGATGACAATCGGATCAGTAAGCTATTCAAACCACCAAACACCATTGTCATTATATGGCCTTTCAAATAATCATCGATCGCGAATTGAGAATTTTTAGCCTAGATTTTTAAAGATAAATTACACAGGTGGAAAGAGTATCCATATTATATAATGAACTCACCCACCATTTGTTTGTGAAATGTTAAAAAAAAAATAATGCTAACCACGCCAACTGCTCAGTTAGGCAAGATCAAGCTCAGATTTAGCATCATCTCCATCATACAATTGAGGATTGAGCAACAAGTCATGGATTTCCAGGAACAATAGTTTTTGCTTTTTATCAATATGCCTGGCTGGATACATTCAACAATAAACTTGGTCATATTTTTATGAAATTGATCATTTAAATCGGAATCAATGGTCAAACAAATTGCTTAGATTGATCGATCGATCATCGATTAAGTGGCACCCAAATATCTATAATTTTGAATGATGCTCACAAAGCATAAAAAATCAAACACATCAATTTCTGGGCAACTTTTGTTTAGGTTGATTGAACTTGATATTCAATGCATTTGACGATTGGATAGGTAAATAATAACCTTGAATCGGACTATAATTTGTGGATCAATTTACGATTATGGTCATGCATCCATAATGAGCATCATCAGTGAATGGCCCATTTCGTCAATATAACCACCATACACTATTTTATTGAAATGACCAGCAAATAAATCGCCATCACATATTTAACACGATATGGCCATCAAAATCATCCTCATTCCATCAATCATTCATTCGAATAATGATGAGGTCAATGCAAATCATAAATGGATGTACTTACCGTTAGCAAAATCCGTTGAATTCTTTTCACCAAAATCGGTCATGTCATCGACAGATCGTGTGGTCAATAATGGCAAATCATCAATGTCGGGTGAATGGGAGACATCGTCATAGTAGCCACCATGTTCATCATCCTCTTCATGTATGGTCTCGGTGATTATGTGACTAGCCGATCGAGAACGATTCAAACCGACTGATCCAACAGTCGATGATGGAGATGTACGTTTCATACGGAAATGGACATGTTTTTTTCTTTGAACGATACATCATCGGTCTCACTGTTATCATCAACAGCGACGGCCAACACCATTTCGTTCAACGATGATGAATGTTGTGAGTAGAAATTGGTCTTTTTCAAGATTGATTTCACACCTTGGTTCAATCGTTCTTTCAATTCATTCTGATAGGATTTACCCTCCTGGCTATTTGACTTGGATGATTTGATGTTCGATTGTTGGTTCTCACTTTCATTTTTGGATGGTGGGCAATTTGTTAACTTTGGTAATGGCGTGCTAAACAATTCGGGTGGCGGAGGAGGTGGTGGTGGTGGTGGGGTGTTCTTTGGACGTTTTATCGAATTTGTTGGCGACTTTTTGCGAGGCAAATCGACTTTTATATCATTCGAATTTTTTAATTGTTGATCTGTATGTTCCACATGACAGACATGGCTATTATTATCTTCCACATCATAATCTGGTTCTGGTTCATCAATCAGTGTGAGAATACGTTGATCAACATCATGACGTTGTCGTGATGCATTCGACGTTCGATTGAGTGATGAATCCGAATTAGATTGAGAATTGGAATCAAACGACCAGGATGAAGATAGTGAACCACTAGATCGTGTACGATGCAATGGATTTGTCGGTAGTAGATGCTGTAAATTGGTTTCCTGATCAAATAAACCTGACAGTTGACGATGAGGACAATCAGCAAATTGTATGGCAGAATAGACGGTTTGGCCTGCGATTCTAATGCTGTTTGCTTTGGAGAAGAGGTTACGAATTAAACGGTTTGTCGATTTTTTATCCTTACAATCGAGACATGCATCGAACATGTTGGTGGTTTTATGATTATTATTGATGGTGTGGTTGGCCCACATAGGATGACTAGACTTGACAGTCACGGTGGTCGATTTCCATTTAGGCTTATTACGTTTGCTTAATTTGGCTGTGGATGAGACATCCGGTTCATGATTGGAACCATTCGTCATTACAAGCTCGTATGGATTGACATTGCATTCTAGAATGGATCGTCGATTATTACTGCCACTATGACCTATTGATTGATTAATGGATTGGTTTGATTGTTTGTTTTGCGAAACTGATGACTGTGAAGCGATTCTGTCCAACGATTTTGATGCATTTGTTAGTCGACGTTCGTTGATGGTATGGAAATGCTTGCCCATAGCCACCGATGTAGGATGATGTTTCGTATTTGTAAGTTGTTGATTCGAATTGGCCACTAATAATGAATCATTCGACATGGAAAGAACACTGGAATGTTTTCCTTTTGATGGTGCGATCAGTTGACTATCATCATCATCAAAATATGAAGGAGCCATAAAAGTCGATCCAGTTAGGCCACGACAAACGCACATACTGTCCGAGGGATGTGATGATGATGAACTACGTTGTGGACTGCCAGCATCACGAACAAATAATCGGGCCAATGAAGGCGGAACCGTGGCCATCGATCGCGATGACGATGTATTTGGTACGGTCGATACGACATGTTGAGCATGACGATAATTTGTATGACGAGCTATCAATGTTCGATCACCACTCACAGTACCAGTGCCGTTATTTCCAATCGTTTTATTCGTTTTTAATTTACGTTTCCAAGTGAACAGACCATTCAATGTAGATGATGACGAAGCCGGTGGCTGTTGTCGTTGAATCATAGAATGTAGATGTTGATTCTGATGGCCATGTATTGATTTTAATCTGGCCGCACGAACTGTATTAAAATGATGATGATGATTATATGCAAGATATGCAGCTGCATTTTGGTCAATAACCATTGGATTTCCATGCAATCGAAGTGATTGAATATTCGTTGTTGTTGTTGTCGTTGTTAACTGATTTAGTTTTTTTTCCATTATCGATCACAGTAAAGAAGAGAAATGTAATATAGTCTCGTATTGTATAAACCAACACAGTTGATCATTGTACGGTAGTACCTTTTTGAGATTAAAAAAAAAAAATAGAAATAGATTAATGCCAATTTCTGAATGTAATGAATAAATGTCCTAAATTTCACAATAAAATGATGATGACAATTATGTACACAAATGTTACATGACTTGGCCATGTTTTTTTTTATTTGTTGAATTTGAATTGTCATCATTCACAATCCAAACTAAACTAATCACAAAGTCATTGTTAACAAGAATGGCATTTGGCCAATTTCATTATATTATTGTTATTCATCATTATATCCTTGAACTTGAACCTTTTACTTTTTCGTTGAATCATCACCATAATTAAAATTGAAAAAAAAAATAATATTCGATTCAAACAAAAATCCTTATAATCTATAGGCTATAGATTAGATGATGATGATGAGGTATTACCTGACTGAATGAACAAACAAACAAACAAACAAAAACACAATCAAAATCAGAAGATTATTATCAACGGGATTTTTTTTTTCATTTCTTCGGAAAAAAAATAAAAGTTTTACCTGGACTCTCAATAATGTATGTATAAGCGTGTATAGACATGCACAAATTCGTTCTCGCTTAAACAATGTTGTGAATGTAAAAAATATTCACATCATCAACAACAACAACAACAAAAAAATGTTGATGATGATGATGATGACAATGGGAAAATGGCCATCATTGTGTGTGTTTGTGTGTATAGGAAATAAAAATGTAAATTCAATTGACCAAAAGAAAAAAAAAGGAAAATGGTCAACAGGCGACACACGCAAAAAGTCATCCGGTTGGATTGGATTGAATTTTGATTTATATCATTGAAAAAAAATTGGAAAAATTGAATTGTGAATTTTGAATCAATCGATCCATCATCATAGACAACACAAATCAATCGTAACATGTTAAAACCATAGTTGGAGATTATTAATCAACACGTGTTGTTGTTGTCGTTGTTGGCGGCGGCGGCAGCAACTAAAAACAGTGAATAAGATTGTGAAAAAAAAATTCATACAATAACGACCTAGACCTCGATGATGATTGGATTGTAGCAATAAGCTACATGCCTACGTGTGTGTGATCACATTAAATCCACACATGATCATGATGATGATGATCATCATCATCATCATATACAACATGGTCAAAAATTTACCATAGCAATCCCAATAATTGAATCTAATCTTTACACAATTCAAACACATTGCTCAATATAAACAAAAAAATTGTTTATGTGTGTGTGTGTTTGTTTGTGTGCCCACACAATCCTATTGTTATTTAGATCTGGCTTTTCTTGTTTACAGCCAAATAAAGACTATCCGATTGTGTAAATTGGGCCAAAATAAAATAAAATAAAAAACATACATACATACATGATCTACATATTCAAAGTCGAAGACATTCTTTATTATTTCAATATGCACGATCACACACATACATAAAGCATAAAGATTTGATTTAAGAATTCAGGGACGGGAGCCATGATGGGGCAACACGAACCACCATCAAAAACAACAACAACTATAACAATAACAACAACAACAACAACAGATAAATTTATATCTATCGATAACCTCGTATTTTGACCTTGTGTCACTGACATTACTACTATAGTACTGTTGCCGCTGCTGCTGCTGGTATTGATCAGCAGCAGCAGCAGCAGAAGAAAATGAATAAAAAAAATTTGGAAAAAAATGTTCTTGTGTATTCTTGCATAGCAACAAACGAAGAAAAAAAAATGTACCACTTTTATATAGAATTGTCATGATTTTAATCTGGTATTATCTTTCGCACTATCTAATGTCATCGAACAAATCGATTTTGGAGATTGAAACAAAATGTTGACATTTTTTTTTTTTGTTCATCAAATGAATTCATCAACGACCGATTATCAATGGATCATTTTTATTCGATTCTAAATAATTCCATATGTATATAATAATAATAATCCAAGTTGAATCAAATGAAATGGGTCATAAAATAAATGGCTTGATTTGTCTAAATTAACATCAACAACAACAACAACAACAACAACAACAAAACAATGATGACTATATATTACTAACGAGGATTAAGTTCAATCAACAAAATGTCCAGTATATATTTGTTGTCATGATAAATTTTGGTTCATTCAATTGATGAAAAATGGGCAAACATGAGAATGAGGGAATGAATGAACAAAAAAAAAATCGAGAAATCGAGAGTATTGATGATATGATGATCATAATGAGAAACATTTTTTTTTAAATATAAATAAAATACTATTGCTTTGAATTAGGATAATAAGCTATTTAGACCATTGGAGGTCAAATCTTGGTTATAATGCACACACACACACACAGGAACACAGAAGCTAATGATATGGAATGAATGATAAATGGATTAATTTTCATTTAAATTAATTGATTATCTAATATACAATAACGGAACATACCATAATATCGAGCTATCGATTAATACAATGGTGGGCATCATCATAATCAATCAAATTGGTTAGATTGGCCACCACCACCACCATCAGTCATGGTGGTGGTTGTGGTTGTGGTCAATCACGAACAAAAAAGAAACTATCGAATATATATGATTTATGATTATCCAACATGAATAAATGAATGAATCGGTTCAACAAAAATAACGAAAAATTTTTTTTTTTTTTTGCGTAAATGATCAATATATGTCATATATGCATAGATGAAACATGCACAAACACGATCCAGATCAACAAGTGAAAACAAGGACGAGTAAAAAAAAGGGAATTATGGAAAAAAAAAAACAAACAAAACAAAAAACAAATGATGTAGTTATCCTTGAACACATACACACACACACACACACACACACATACAATCATTGATGATGAAGATCGTGATATATTTTGGATCAGAGAGAGAGAGAAAAAAAAATCATCTTTCATCCTAACTAATGAAATCAGTACATTACAGTAGTGGTGTTGAACATTATTGGAATGACGATGATGATGATCTAGTTTATAATTAGAAGAAATGCCATTCATTTACAAAAGAAAAAAAAAAAAAAAGTAAAACAAGTGGTTCACCAATCAAAAAAAAAAAAAAAACTATAAATTCATATATAATGGGCTAAATATAACTCATCATCAGATGTTTGGTCAAATCAAATATTTGTAGTTGAGAGAATAAACAATTCCCATTTGCTTTTTGGGTTTTCGGTATTTTTTCTATATTATCCACCATCCACCAATTCACATTCAATGAATTGAGATTTTGATTATATTAAATCCATTTTCACTACAAAAATGAAATGAAATGAAATGAGTCGACGACCATTACTAATCATTGATTGACGTGCATGTATGTACAGCACACCACACACTCTCTCCCTTTACTCTTAGAAAAAAAAATCACTCAATCTTAAATCTGATTTGGTCAATTTTTTTTTTCGTTGTTGTTTAATAGTCTACTACTGTTGTTGTTTTTGTTGTTGTTGTTGTTGAGAATAAGATAACTACAAAACTTATAGAATTAACAACAACAACAACAACAACAACAACACTGGCTTTTTCAATGATCAACACAAAAATAAAACTAAACTGATGCTGCCAACCATCCAGTAAATATAATGGGTTTATTTTATTTTTTTTTTCATTCATAACAAAAAAAAAAAAAAACAACAACAACAACAAAAATCTTTCATGTTGCTCTATCGGACATACACACACACACACACACACACACACACATTCACCATTGGACAATTTTCGTCAAATACTTATCCAACAACTATCCATCTATCTATAGAAAAGACCATTGGGTATTATTATTTAAAAGTCAAAAGACCCATTATCCAATAATCATGGATGGATAGATAGATAGATGGATGGTTGGATGGATGGATGGATTGATGAATAGATTGATCAATAATATACGATGTAGGATGTAAGACATACACACACACACACACACACACATTAATCATCAATGATTATCTCAAAATCCAAAATGGCTTCATCATCATTTATGTCCAAAAAAAAAATTGGTTGGAAAAGTTATCCGGTTATTATATCTAACACATCGATCCATTAGTTTCTGTTTGTGTCTGAGTTGCTCATGGCTATCCAAATTATAAGTCAATTTGATCCAACAACAGCAACAACAACAACAACAACAACTGGTCAATTGTTGTCGTTGTTGTCATCAGATATATCAAACAGGAAGTAAACAAAGGGGTTTCGGATTACATTTATATAATTATCATCATCATCATCATGGCGTCAACAAACAATCATTCGATCGATTCTTTAGATCAATTGATTGAAATGATGAAATTTTCTTCTTTTTTTTTCTCACTCATTTAATCATATGGTCAATGATCATTGTGAAAGAAAGTGCTCTGTTTGTCATCATCATCGTGTTTCCCATCACAAAAAATATGAAGATGAAGGGAATCATCATGAGCAGCAGAAATATTCATTTCATTTCATGAAAAAAAAATTGATGGTCATTCTAAATTAACCATTGCATGCATGTATTCAACTTGAATAACAATGACATGAGAGAACAGTTTGTCACCGATTTACTAACTTAACCTAACCACAACAAAAGTATTAATTTGTAAAAAAAAACATAAGATCTCGACGATCCGGTGTGTGTGTGTATGTTTCACAGTTATAAAGACCATCATTAAATGTGAAATGTCATCATCATCATCATGACATTTTAGTTGACTAATTAAAGATTTTCGTTCATTCATTCATCTATTTTGTTTGTGTGTGTTATTATTATAAAACTTGGCTCTGATAAAACAATAGCTTCATAACAAGTATTTCATAACAAACACACAATGTTATATGGTGGATAAGATGATGGCCCATGTTAATAAATAACAATGGTTCAATTAGTTGAAATTTATGATCTAGGCCACCATCAACCATCACCACTGCTAAGGTTGACAATTTCATTCAGAAGATGATGATGATGATGATGAGTCTGTAAAAGCAAAAAAAAAAAAATTTAAATCTCAATGACCACGACTATGACGGGGTCCGT